AAAACTGAATGACGGCGGGATCGAACCCGGGCCGTCGGCGTGGTAGGCAAGCACGTTACCATTTAGACAACGCGCTCATTTAAAAATAATAATTTCATTAGTGGTATATCTTCAATATATTGAATAATTTTTTCCATTTGGAATTCCAAAAGATGTGGCTTCCCCCTTCCGCTCGTTCTACAGTCGGCTGAATTTCAGTTAAACAAATAAAAAACAAAAAGCATTCATACCCCAGCATTGCGTGTGGCGCCCTCCCTCTCTTGGGGTGCAGTACTACGATGCCGCTGGGGTCAATCAACCCCCAGATCTCTACTTCTACTTTAGTCAATCCTCTTTCATCCACTACGTCTCCCCCAGTGGCGGGTGAATACTCGCCTTAAAATAGCTGTTCTGCTCCGAAAGGATCGCAAAAATGACCTAACAACCGACAGGGTATAAAAAGAATAAAAGTGCAATTACTGAGATTCTAACGAAAAGTGCATTGTTCCGTCATTTCTTACCCATTGTCAATACACATGTCAAATTATCATTAGAGTGTATGATACATTGCTTGGGTACTTGGGGAAAAGGTTAAGGGTACAACGGATATGCCTGACCCAGACAAAGGTTACTTTTAAATCGAATCGATGATTCTCTTTTCATCCCAATTACTCTCCCGACTTAAAATTGTGTAGTAGTGCAACCAGTTTTTTAATCCAGCCTTTTCCTTCAAATCATCCCGCAAATTCAATTCAATGAATATCAATTTCCAGATGCTGCGAATCCATTGGTGTCCATTTCTGTTTCATTATTTCACCTCATTTCTTCGTTGTTACTGTTGATTTGGTGTTGATGTATTTTTAAGCAAAGATCTAAGTGATTTTGTTAACTGATAACGAGTTTAAGGATGCAATATTAATTTTTGAATATCGATTGTTGTTTGGTGCAGTCACAATGTCGAAAACAGCAGTATTCAACGGAGACTCTGATGGTTTTTACGATCCTAACTTCACCATGGATATAAACAGAAGAATGAGAGTACCTAAAAGTATCAGAGTTAGTGGAGATTACTCGGATGATGACGCCAGTACCAATGGCTCTGGCACCTGGAATCCACCGATGCAGAATGACAAATTCGATATGCGCGTTCCTGACAGGATTCTCGTTACTGGTGAATTATTGAAATGCTAATAATCCCAGAACAACTTATCTTTTAATTCCAATCTTCCTAGGTCAAGATCAACATGTAGGCATGAAAGCTCCTCCGATCGAAATGGCCCTGGAGAAATCAGTGACACAACCCATAACTCATGGAATGGTGAGAGTACAGGTCTGTGTGAGTTTGATTACCTAATTAACCTTAATTGTCCTTTTTGTTGTCTGCACTGATATCAGTGGCTAATGTTCAGCATTCGTTTCCTCGTGGTCTTTCCCCCAAGGAAAATTCATCGACTCGATTGGCACGAAATATTTTTTCTATTCTTTCAATTCTGCAGACTCCACCGAGGGTTTTGACTCTGGGGGACCATTTCTTCCCAACTGTTGACGACGGTGACATGGAAAATTTTGAGAATGCCTCAGAACTCAACACAACTTTCTCAAAACCTCCACCTTATGAAAGCGAGACTCAAATTGCAAGACGTGCTGCAAGGTAAATTGATGGAAACGAGTAATTGATACTGTGATGGATTTATTGTCGTGGTTGTGATTTCAAGGGAGCAAACTCCGATATACAGTTCTCTGGACGTCTCTCTTCCTCCGAGCGAAGAGATACAGCATCTGCGTCGTCAAGTCGGCAAGCTCAATCGTCGAGTGATGGCAGTCGAACTGGAGATAGTACATCGCCAGCAGCGAGATAAAATTCTCTATGCCATTACGATCGCATATTTCTTCTTGAAGGCATTCAATTGGATCAGTAGAAATTAAATCCAGACCCAGATTACGTTTCCCATTCCTTTCCCAAACACTTTGGACGATAAGTACTGTTCCCGGGAGGAAAAGGTCAGTTGAAAGTCGTGAAAATAATCTCGGATCAATGGTCAACACGATTTATTTCATTCATCACTCGGACAACCGTGTGAATCCAAATTTAGAAGGTCTGATGATTCACATTAGGATTTAAATATCTTTAACTTCATTTACGATGAGATATTATGAGAGAACGATGTGTCCTCGGAGGAAAGTGTACGTGAAAATTTATCTACATGAAATGAAAAGTTTTTCTCATTTCTTCTGGAGCGGATTCCTTAATACCTGAGAATTTTCTGTGTTCACCTGGAATCTTTGACTGGTTTTTTTAAAATTACGTACTCGTATCCCCCAGGATAAGATCATTCGAGAAATCACCATATTACAAATGTGGAAATACGAACAATATATTTCATTCACTTGTTAGTAAAGTCAATACGGTAGATTTAGTTGAACGATTTTTTGAAAGTGTTGATTAGTGAAATTATAACTGTTCGAACCATGAATACTTTAGTATTCTAAAGTATCTTTGACGTGGCTTGTATTATGTATATAACTTCTGTGACTATTTCCTCCTCTCGCCATTTTTAGTTGAATTAACTATTGTCTGGAGCGTATAAGTTTTATTATATGCTCACACGATCCAAGTTCATTGGTGATTTGAGAAAAAACGTTGCAGTGACGTTTTTATGAATTGAAACGGATCGAAATTGGGTATGTGATCAGACGGCATTTGATTTTTTTTTTCTATTACACAGCTCGAATTACAATTCGTTAAGATTTATTATTTTCAAATCATGTTGATGGTCATGAAAAGTTTTGAAAAAGGAAATGGAGATTCCTATTTCTTTGGTATGAATTAACAAATTTTTTTTATTAATATTTTCACATCACAATCTATTCCGTTTTCTGGTGACATTTTCTTCTCGGTCACAATTAATTTCGATAATACTGAGAATATAATGATGAAATACCTAATGAATTGATGTTTATAAATTTTTTGCAAACGTGATTAGGCGTCTGTAAGTTACTGTATATTTTTATCATATGGTATGCAAGGATTGAATAAACGATTCCCTAAATAAATTCATTTTATTCTCATTCTTCACCTTTAGAAATATAAAAATGTTTTCTCATTCTCTTTAAAGAAATCGAGGAAGTATTCAAAATTAATTCTATAAATGCCTGGTAATGCTACACCCTTACTCTCATTATTTTCCTCGATTTTTCAACATATCAACCTTATCAAATTCGTAAGAAACAAATTGAGTATATTTTCCTCTCAATTTTTCCTTTTCGTGCCTTTATTATCACATGTCGGGTGATTTTCAACAGGTGCCGATGTTCCGACATGTTCCGAAACGTCAGTTTCCCGCCAGAAAATAGCAACACAAAGCGTTCAATCGAAGCGGTGATATCATACATTTTATTTATTACTGACCAACAGTGAAAAAAAAATTGCCATTCGGTGCCTAAATAAGTAAAACTGATCGAAAGATCGCAAAGAGAAATAATTCAACGATTGCTCACTCAAAATCTTCGGTAATATTAATCAAGATTGAGGTTATAGAAAAGAAAGAGAAATGGAAAACGAGGGTCCCTCGTCATCCTCTCGTGCGAGACGAGAAAAAAAAGACAAATTCGGTCGCTTCGCTGCCCTCCAGAAGTTGAAGAATCTCAAAGGCTCGAAGCACAAATACGAAATAGAAGAGATCGATAACGTCTACGACGTAGTGGATGACAAGGACTTTGCGAAAACGGTCGTAGAGCGTCAACAAGACGACTGGATCGTCGATGACGGTGATGGTGGATACGTCGAGGACGGCAGAGAGATATTCGACGATGACTTGGACGACGAGAGTATTCAGAAGGCCTCGCGGGCCTCCCTCTCAGGACCTAAGAAACGAAAGCACAAAGAGTCCAAGAGTAAGGGGAATATCCTCAACATGCTCCAGAGCATGCCCTCCAAAAAAACAGAGGCCAAGGCCGTCGAGGATGACGACATCCTCGGCTCTATGCTTAAAGAATTGGAAAATAGCAAACCTTCAACTCCAAAATCCTCTACCAACAGATTTGCAACCCCGAAGACTGCTCCAAAACCGGTGATTCGAGCGAACAAGACGCTCGAAGAAGAGGAAGAAGCGATTTTCGATTTTCCTAAGGCAAGGGCAAGTGAAAAAATTCCTGAAGACACAATACCAAAAAATACCTCGACTGCGCCACAAAATGGGAGTAAAAAAGAAGATCCTTCAGGTCCAGATCCTAAGAAAACAAAATTGGTGGAACCAGAAATAGAACCAGAAATCACGAACAAGTCCCAAGGAACTGACGAAATGTATTCCCAATACACTGCGGAATTCCCAGACGACGATTTCGAGTGTCCAGACGTATCCTCGATGCCTTCAGCCACAACGCAGTCCTCTCAACTCACTCAATCCACCCAAATCCCTCGGAAAGCGAAAATTGACATACCAGGTGACGAGGATATCGAAAATCTTCTCAGCAACGTGGAAATGTTCGATCACTGGAATTTCGAGGCAGACAATAGCGAGGACACGACTCTCCAGGACCCATCAGGAAAAATTTCTGAAGATCTGTCCACAGTGGTGACAACAAATGCCTCAGGAGATTCAATCCTGAGATTCTTCTGGTTGGACGCCTCCGAGGATCCTTATCGTCAACCAGGCGTGGTGAATCTCTTCGGGAAAGTCCACCTGGAGGCCTCCAACACGTACGTCCCCTGCTGTTTGACTGTGAAAAATATCCCCAGGAGGATTTACGTGCTACCCAGGGAGACCCTCAGCACCGGAGAAGCCAACACCATGATGAATGTCTATGGTGAGTTCAACGAATACGCGAGTCGCCAGAAAATAACAGAATTTCGTTCTCAAACTGTAAAAAAGAATTACGCATTCGAGATCGAAGGAATCCCAGTGGAGTCTGAGTACTTGGAGGTGCGTTACTCGGCATCGTTTCCTGCAATTCCCTCAGACTACTCTGGAAAAACAATTGAACATATTTTTGGAACGTCTGTGAATGCCCTGGAGCTGTTACTGATCGAGAGGAACCTCAAGGGGCCCTGCTGGCTCGAGATAAAAAATCCCATTATCGTCGAGAGTCTTGCCACCTGGTGCAAGCTCCAGGTGAATTGCCTGAAGATGGAGAACCTCTCGGTACTCAAATTCGATGATGGGAGGAAGCTCTCCATTCCCCCAACGACAGTCACCACCCTGAACATCCGGATTTCCTTGAATTCAAAAGAACAGCAAAACGAAGTCAACATGATTTCAGTTTTAACTCACAATAATTTCCAAATCGACAAAGCAGCCCCCAAGCCCCCCTTCAACCAGCACTGTGTCTTCGTCACTCACCCCAGGAACATCCCTTGGCCTCTCTACGCTGTTGATAAACTCAGAAAATTCCAGAGTACAAATGTCATCGTGTGCGATAGCGAGTCTGAACTCCTGGAGAAGTTCCTCGATAAAATCCAGATTATCGATCCAGATATTCTAGTGGGGCACGACTGTGGCTTTCAATTCGACGTCCTGACGAGAAGACTTGTGGCCCTGAAGGTGAAAAATCCCAGCAGAACTGGCAAACTCAAGAGGAGTCTTCTGCCATTCATCAAAGGAAAGATAATGCTCCAGCAGATATTTTGCGGTCGTCCCATTTGCGATCTCCAGATATGCGCTAAGGAGGTCAACCTCAAGGTCCGTAACTATGACCTCGACACTCTCTGCTCAGCAGTATTGAACACCAAAGAGAATCATATAAAGGAAATCAAGCCAGCGAATTGTTCCCAATTTTATTCGTCCCACGAGAAGGTCCTCGGATTGGTGAAGATTGTGATGACAGAGGCATCGTACATTCTCAGTCTCATCTGCGAGATGAACATAATACCACTGGCACTGCAAATCACTTCAATCGCTGGGAATGTGCTCTCGAGGACGCTATCAGCTGGAAGAGCTGAGAGGAACGAGTTCCTGCTGCTCCACGCCTTCTTCAAGAAGGGATACATAACTCCGGATAAGAAGATTTCCAACAAGAAGACCGAGGAGAGCACCAAGAAAAAAGCAGCCTATGCTGGTGGTCTAGTTCTCGAGCCGAAGAAGGGATTTTATGATAATTTGATTTTACTCATGGATTTTAATTCGTTGTACCCCAGCATTATTCAGGAGTACAATCTCTGCTTCACGACTATTCCAGGAGTCTGCTACACAGAGCTCACGAATGCTCATATTCCTGGGGGAGATGTTCAGACTGGTGTCATTCCCACAGAAATCAGAAAACTCGTGGAGAGTCGGAGTGAAGTGAAGAAACTCATCAAAACACCAAATCTCTCCCCTGAGCTGAAGCTTCAGTATAATATCCGGCAGCTTGCCTTGAAACTGACAGCGAATTCGATGTATGGATGTCTTGGAGCTGCCCATTGTCGATTTTACGCTAAAAATCTGGCTGCCCTGGTGACAGCCAAAGGACGAGAGATCCTCCAGAATACGAAGATCCTCGTGGAGAAACTGAATTATGATGTTGTGTATGGGGACACAGACTCCATCATGATTTATATTAACATTTCGAATTATGATGAGGCCTTTGGGGTGGCTAAGAAGATCAAGCAGGAGGTCAACAAAACATATAAGAAGATTGAACTGGATATTGATGGGGTCTTCAGGTACATGTTGTTATTGAACAAGAAGAAATATGCTGCTATGTTGATGAGCAAGTCACCCAGTGGGAAACTGGAGTATCAGACTGAGTGGAAGGGATTGGATATTGTGAGGAGGGACTGGTGTCAGCTGGCCTGCGATGTCGGGAAACATGTGATTGATCAGATATTCACGGAGTTGCCTATTGAGGAGAAAACAGCGAAAATTCGAGAGTACCTCGAGAAGATCGCGACAAACCTGAGGAGTCAGAGCATTCCCCTGTCATCTCTAGTAATTACCAAGCAACTGTCAAAGGATCCGAAGGACTACCCCCAGAAAAATCAGCCCCACGTGGCAGTTGCCCTGAGGTTGAATAAATTGGGTGGGAGGATGTGGAAGGCAGGGGATACCGTTCCCTACATCATCTGCCTGGACGGCACCTCCCACTCGCCCGTCGAAAGGGCTTACCACATTGACGAATACAAGAAGAGTGAAGACCTCACTCTGGACATCGATTACTACCTCATCAATCAGGTAATTGCAGTTCTCCAACGAATCTGCGCACCAATTACGGAGTTGGATGGTGGATTCCTGGCAGAGTGCCTTGGAGTCGCTGACAAATACAAACCAGCGGTGATTCCTTCCTCCAATGGAGCAGAGAACTCCAATTACTCGAGCACTTACACCCCTAAGGCCTGGAGATTTGAGAATTGCACGGCTTTTGTGTTCAAATGTAAAGAGTGTGGAGCAGAAAACAAAGTGAAAAAATTTTTGAAAGCAGTGGGGAAGAAGCAACTGCCAGCCCTTGAAGCTTGCTCCATGGAGACTTGCAAGTCAGCACCCTGGAGACACGTGAAAGCTGTACAAAATCATCTCCAGATGGAAATGAGGAAATTTGTGGATAAGTATTATCAGCAGGATCTGCAGTGCGATAATTCAGAGTGCAGTTACAGTACGGATTCTCTGCAGCTCGGGTGTTCGGACAAGGTGACCAACAGACCTGTTTGCCCGATGTGCTCTGAGGGAGAGCTCGTCAGGGAATTCACTGAGACCATGTTGTACGATCAATTCAGCTTCTACCTAGATTGTTTCGATGTTGGAAGGCATGGGAAGGAATTGGAAACACCTCTAACACCTGAAGTTATTGCTGCGTATGACAGACTGAAGCAGTTTGTGGAGAGGTACCTCAGAAAAAATGCCTATTCCATCGTGGACCTCAGTAAAGTATTTCTGTGTATCAGGCAGGGCAACCAAGAAAAAACTGCGAAGAACAAAAGTTAAATATTGTAGATGGGGACGTGATAAATATTTTGTAATTAGATATAAATCCTGCAGAATGTTTTTCCATTATTTTCGTATAATCTGTAATAAAATTAATTTTTTTAATCCAAAGCAATTGTTAATTTATCACTCTTCAAAGTCGTTTTATTGTAAAACACAGAAATTCATCACCAGCTGTCTAGAACATTTTGACATGACCAAACGATAACAATGTTTTGATAATGATCTTATCAAATTCTTTCTTAAAAAAAAAACAATTCAGAAATTACATTCCTCATGATAGTTGCAATTATCGTTATCATTGCTGAATTATTCTAATTATTGCTTATATTAGTACTGATTGTTCTGTTGAAATTCAAGAGCTGAATTTTGGAATCGATGAAAATGTCAAATTTTCATGAACTATTGAATTTCCTATTTTGGTAGAATCGATTCATTCTCGTTGACACTGGGAACAGTGTAAAAATTATAAGGTACATTCGGCGTTAGAAAATTCTGTATCGTCACTGGTACTGCATTGAAGTAGGTGGTGGTGGTATTTTTATCACGAAACAATGGAGCAGTCTGGATATTAGCAGGAGATTCAGTCTGGAAAGTTTCGACAGCTGGGGTGGGAACAGTTTCAAGAATAATTGACTGTGTGGAGGTCTCAGCAATTATGTGCGTCACCTCAACATTGCCTGCCGATTCAGTGCTCTGGCCTCCAGCCTCTTCCTCCTGCACATGCAGCTGAAGAGGATTCTGTGGCAAATGTTTGGTATGCGATGTATTGATTCCATGTCTTCTCTTCATGTGTTTATTATAATTAGGCCAATTAGTGAAATGATGCTGGCACTCGAGACAACTGTACGGTCTCTCTCCAGTGTGCTGTCTCCTATGAGTCGTAAGAATGCCCTTGAACCTGAAGCATTTTCCACAGAATTCACAGGTGAATGGCATGGCTCCAGTGTGGATCCGGTGGTGTTCCCTCAGAGTTCCCTTTTCTCTGAAAGTCCTACCACAGACTGCGCACTGATGGGGTTTGTCACCAGTGTGAACGGTCTCATGTTTCTTCAGCTGAAGAGGGGTCTTGAAGGCCTTAGTGCACAGGGAACAGTTGTAGGGCTTGTCAGCAGAGTGAGTGAGGAAATGTGCCTCGAGGTTTCCCTTCTGGATGAAGCTCTTACCACACTGGTCACAAGTAAAATTCCTTACACCTGAGTGAATCCTCTTGTGAGTGACGAGATTTGGCTTCGTGGAGAATCTCTTACCACACTGATCACAGGGATATCGATTCTTCATGGTATCTGGGAGGTGACACCTCCCATGGATGTAGAGTGCACTCTGCTGACGAAAACTCTTGCCACACGTCTGGCAAACGTGTGGCCTCTCCTCGCTGTGAATTGCCCGGTGGGACTCCAGGACTTTCTTGTGGACGAAGGATTTTCCACATTCCTCGCAGGTGAATTTTGATTTGTTCTTGTGTCTCCTCACGTGACTTAGGAACGCCTGATACTTATCGAAGATTTTGCAGCATTGGACGCACATGTATTTCGCCTGTTGATTGTGGGTAATCTTGTGGTGTTGCTCCAGTGAGTCCAACGATGGAAGTTTGTCGTTGCAGTCTGTGCACAGCCAGGGGTATCTGTCCAGTGTTCTTCCACGAGTCTTTGATTTTGGATAATCGACTATCCTGGACTCTATCATTTCTTTGTCTGATTCTGTTCCAGTCATGTAGTTCTCGGGGATCTTTACGTCCTCGGTGTCAGACCCCGAGGCAATTGGACTTAGCTTTCTCGTTCGTCTTCTCACCTGCTTCATGCTCTGCTTCGGGGTTTTCTTGGTTCTCAGGATTTTTTCTTTCTCTGGGGGAACCTCTGCTGGCGCGTATTTGTGGTCAACCTCCGGGATCTCCCTCTGCTCCACATCGTCAGTGAGGTAGTCTGGGTCCAGCTCATCTCCTGGGATGTAGTCGTCACCGAATTCCGCCGTTTCTTCCTCGGTTTTATTTGAACCCCCAATTATCTTCTCCACAGAGTCGACGGTGGAATCAGAAGAATCTCGCAAGGGCTTGATATCGATTAAGAGGTGGCGGAGAGAAATCTGGGCCTGATGACTTCTCTCGTAGAAGAGGCTGCATTGGTCTAGGAGATCGTAGCAATCGGTGCAGATTGAAAGAGGAAGATTATCTGATGTAACAACCTGAAAAAAGTTTTAACCATTTTCTGAATTCAATAAAAATTCTCAAATTACATCAGTTAATAAAAAAAACACTAAATTAAATTAATGTATTTAATTGTAAAGAAAAATTAATTCCAATTATCCTTCTTGCATAAATTAATATCCAATAAATAATTTTGACAATAAGAAAGTTTAGGTTTGTGTTATTTTTTGGGCTTGAGTCGTTTTTTGGTGAGTGGCAATTGTTTAAATGATGGAAAATGGTGGTGACTCACCTGTAAATCAAGAAACTTGGCAATTTTCTCTTCAATTGCTAATTTGAGCCCCTCGGGATCATAAATACCAATGACTTTGATCTTGGATTCTGCACACAGCCGGCATAACTCAGTGTCCGACATAGCTACACCTTGATCAGACACAACGAATGTTGATTCAATCAGTCATTAGAGCTAATTGGAGCTTAACTACTTGATGAACACCTTTGGAGTGATGAACCTTGGCTTTTAATTTATAAACAATGAGATGAGAGACACGAGGGACGCCTAAATCTGAACCGACATGTTTCTATCCTCGGGTTTTTAAGTTTTTTGTGTTTTCACAGGGTGGCGGGCGTGTTCATATTTGATTTTAGTCAGGTTGGCGAAACTTCAGTTGATCCACCAATTGGATGTTTCTTTTTTACGAATTGAAATAACAATGAAAAATGTCATGCGAGTTGCAATGGCTGTTGGAAATTCGATTAATTAGTGAATATTATTTCAACAAATGTAGATTTCAATTCTACTATTTTTAATTGGGGCAATTGTCCTCCCAGATATATTTGAAATAATCAAAATTGTCAATTGAAAATCAATCAGATTTCCTCGGAGTTTATAAAATTTTCAGGCATAAATATTTTTTGTGAGATCCGATTTATAGATTTATTATCTCATAAATATTCAGTGTTTAGATATTCATTTCACAGGTGATATTTTTCTCCATTTTTTCATTGAGTGAAATCTCGTGGAGAATTTTGGAATAGAAATCGGATGGAAACTATTATCGACCATTAAGGTTGTATTTTTTTCTTCGATATTGAAGACGTGATTAATATAATCTCGAGGCCTAACAAAATTTATTTGAAAACCTGTTCGTTTTATTTTAGGAGTAGGAGCCAAGCTGAAGCATTCCTCTTCATTTATTGCTGTCAAAAAATTCTTCCTATCGCATTTCTGGAGGGATTATCGCTGTTTTGTCATGAGGTACATTTCTGGGTGACCCACATGTCCCCACAAATATGATACACGACACCTAGGCATTTCTAACGGGACTGAATAATTATTCAGTTTGTGAACTTAACAATGGACATTGTTCAAATCCAGCAAGTATTTTTTCTCCAATAATTATCCACCTCATTCTAGCTGACAATCTGCGTCAATTACTTGCAATATTAAAATCTGTAATTTGAAATTTATTTCAATGGATTGGGAAATTTTCAGGAGAGATTGTGTGGCGTACGTGATTGCTCCGAGATATTTGTTATTTCTTCAAATTTGAACAGAACTCATTTTAAATTCAGTCTACACTCCGGCGAAAGTCCTCCTGTTTTCTTACGTCCACGTGCTCCTCAAGCAGAAACAGCCTGGGGTACGTTAAACAAATAAAGCAATACTGGAATTCTTGTCTTCATGTTTCAGCCACAATTGATCGTTAAGTGATGCCGAAATATCGGAGATAAATCCAATGACTTTCCTTATCCCTTTCCTTTGCTCTCGTGTTTATTCTTTCACTGTTTTTATATCCGTCAGAATCATTACGGACCGATAGTCAATGAACTCTTGTTATTCAAAATTCTGTATCTTTACGTGTTGACTTTTCTATTCCCATTTTCATTTTCTCCTCGAGTGAAATCGAAATTCCATTTTCTTTATCATTTTTTTAAATCTAATGGTTTATTTTATTGAACAGGATTGCATATTATTATTATTAATATTACAGTATAATCTTATCACATGTTGACATGAACTTAAAAAAAATTGATTTGATATTGAGACGTCTGTGCGGTTTGAGAGAAAAATTTCTGGGGAAAAAATAAATGTTAAATTTCGATAGCAAGTGGCTTTGGAGGATGGAAGTGTCGAAGGTTCAGGTCTCAACATCCTGCTGGGAAATGGGGATCTTTGCTGAACATTGTGTATATATAGGGGTGTCCCAGCACCATGAGTCGCAGTTCAACCGTGAACGTTCTTAGGTGAGTATCTCAGAACTTTTTCTGTCAACTCATCGATTTTTACTTCAATTATCATTGAAATTCTGGAATTTGGAATAGGCCAAATGGTTTTTACTAGTTTAGAATTTATTTATTGACATTTGAATGCAGATTCCAGCGTAGTGATTCATTTTTTAATTTAATTATGTGAATGATAAAATTTGAAAACAATTATTAATAATAAAAATGAAAATAAAAATTTCGAGAAACTTTGTAGATTATGAAATTCTAAATTTTTCGTTTCTTTATTATGCGAACTGCGAATGATTTTTTGCAATTAATTCGAGTTAATGTTAATAAAATGGCGATTGAAAAATTAAGATTTTCTTCTGTTTCCCCTTTATATTACGAGCTTTAATATCAAATAATCTATCGTTTGAATTTATTCCTGAGCTCTCATTATCGGTTAAATAATCATTAACGCTGATTGAATTATTTGTTCCTGTCATTTATTTTGAAGATATTAACAAAAGAGAAAAATTTCCCACGGAATTTTGAAGTTTTCAACCCCGATTGGGAAGTAAGCCATTAATAAACCGGTTCTGAAGAAAGTCGTTCAGAGGCATCGGCCGAGAAATTTTTTCGGTATAGGGGCCCTACCAATATTGCTTATCACATCAGCCGATCAGAATATTCCTAAGAGCTCAGAGCGGGTACCGTTCGTTAGATCATCATAAGTCACCGCATACTTTCTTCAACCTGTAAAAGATAATTCGCTAACAATCAATTAGCGTTCCCTCAGAATTTCCTCACACATCACAATTTGAAAATATAAATAAACCGTCTGCAATATAGAAATTCTCTCATATATTTTTCCACTATCAAAAAATACGACTTTATTAAATCACGGAGAACTAAACGATGTCACGAAGTCGTGAAGAAATTCTGAATTAACAAACGTATCATTTCGTGTAGAAAGGTGGAAATGAGGGATTTTCAGTTATTCTTTCTTTTCAGTTAGACTTTCTTTTTTCAGATTATTTTAGTAAAAGTTATTTTCGCTATATTTGTCAAAATAATTTTATGTTGATAAATTTCAGGTGAAATATCCAGAAATGTTGCGATTTATCATCCTCGGGGCACTGGCGACCCTCGCCGCAGCCCAATTCCAGCCCCAATCTCCAGGAAGAATTTTGGAGCCACCAATTCCACAGCTGTGCGCTCAAAGTAAGTTTTCATCAATTCTCCACAAAAAAAAATCCATCATCTCCGTGATTTGGTACCTATAATAAACAAATCTTCAATTTACCAAAGGTACCAAATCATGGAGATGGTATACATGTAATAAACAAATTGAAGATTTGTTTATTATAGACCCCAGAGTCACGAGAGGCCGGAAAACCGCTTGTCTAGAAAGTTGGCAAACTCTTCCCCATCGATCCCAGTGGTTTCTTCCGCTGACAAATATTCATCTATTGAATTAACTGGTCACGAATAATGACATTGACACTTTCACATTACCACTAAATAAAATTCAACCTCCAGTTTAACGAACTCCGTGTCTAGAATTTCAATTCACCTGAGGATCAAATATTGGGGAGCAATTCTCATTCCGAGATAGTTTGTCACCCACAATAATTCAGCCTTGCCCCACAATTCATTTCAATTTCGTTGAAATTTCCTTAGAATTTTGAAAGTTAAACTGGAATCATTGATAATACATCGAATGATCAGAAATTTAAAAATCAGAAATTGTGATAATCACTGGAAGACAATCTATAAATAAAATTTCCATAATCATTAGAAATTCTAACGGGCCGAAATTCGGGCATTAGCATGGAAAGTACCGGCTAATACCAAAATCGTTTTGAAAATAAAAAAAAAGCCTCGCGGATGTGGGAAAGTCATCATTAGCATTTAAACGGGTGGGTCGTGAATTTCATTGGATACCGTGCCAATGTCTAGGTCGTCCCCAGCCCACGAGTGTGTGGGTCACGAGCCAACATGACGAATAAATGCCCCATCCCCCCCTCACCCCCCACCTTTATGGAATTTCACAGGGTAATGGTTCACCATTACATGAGTTTCACCTTGTGGCATCTTTCATATTGGTGTCAATCCGTTTCGGCAGAGCCAACCGGAACCGTTTGACTCGACTTCCGTTCGAAAATCATGTCGACAATGTCTTTACGATTATTTTACCATTTTCTCCATGAACAGGCAGAACAATCGGGGAAATAATCTGCGGTATCAATAGAGGTTGAGGGACAGAGGGTTCACCTGCAGAGAAAGTCCTTGACTGAAGTTTTTCCCTCCCGTCGTAAATCTTTATTCTTAAGCAATAAATTTTAACTAATAGAGGATGTTCGAGCAATTAATGGTGATGGAAAGAAAGAACGGAAATTGATTTGCTGATATATCGTGTGAAAACTTTTAACTGATTTTATGCTGTTGCTAATATGACTGAGTGCCATAGTAATAGAAATTTTTTAAGGAAAATTATTCGATTCGAATATCTCGAAAATTTGACGAATAATTGAAATTTTAGTAGCGATCGTTCTCGTGTCTTGACAAGAAATTAATTGAAACGATTCTCAACTCGTTTCGAAGATAGGTTCCTGAATTTACAAATGGAACTCAATAAATCTATTTTCAGGAACGATTCACGAGCGTTTTAATGGAAAAGGCTATTACTATTCCTGGGCGGATCCGAGGACTGCAGGTCAGGAAATAGATTGGCTTTCAGGGAGAAATTTCTGCAGGCAACGTTGTATGGATCTCGTCTCCCTGGAGACATCCGCCGAGAATGAATTTATCAAGAGTCGTCTGGTACAGAACAAAGTCAAGTACATCTGGACGTCGGGACGTCTCTGTGACTTCAAGGGATGTGACAGAGCAGATTTACAACCCCTGAACATCAATGGATGGTTTTGGACAGCTGAACTCCAGAAACTCGCACCCACAAGTGATCGCAATCAGAATGACTGGTCAGAGAGTGGAGGCATCGGCAAATCACAGCCTGACAACCGCGAGGCCATTCAGGGTGGAGCACCTGAGAATTGTCTAGCTGTTCTCAACCAGTTCTACAATGATGGCGTTAACTGGCACGATGTCGCTTGCCACCACAAGAAACCCTGGGTCTGCGAGGAAAATGACTCTCTACTCAAATACGTTCGCTTCACAAATCCAAATATTCGTGTTTAATTCATTAAATTAGCAGCTAAAGGGAAAAACAACAATGAATTATTCTCTCCGTATTTACGAAAAATACTCACCGCAAAATTTATATATATTCTTTTATTTTTCCGAATCTTTGAATTCTTGCACAGGAAAATTTTCTGGCTGAAGCCAGTCCTAAAAATTGAATTGACACTGCGTTTTATCCCTTGGCTGTTGAACTCATCTTTACATTTAAGAGCGAATAATTACAAATGGCAGCTATTCATGAGCGACTGAGTAACTTGTATAGACAGTATATTTATTGCGATCATTCAAAGCTTCTTTCACTGTCAATGAATTTCGAGAGAAATTCAAAAAACATCAGTTAACACATCATTGTTCCTTTAGTTTAAGAATCGAAAGACAAGTTGTTTCGCCAATTATTTGATAAATTTTATTTGTGTATGACGATAATAAAAAAGTATTTACAAAATATTGTACCTATAGCGATTACTTTTTACCTTCTACCATAATAATGTGATATCCAAATTTCGTTTTTACCGGAGGATCGGTGTAGATTGGATTCCCCAGGTTGGAGATGGGTAGAGCAAACGCAGCATCCTGGAAAGGTCCCACCATAGCTCCGCGGGTCTGCCACCCTAGATCTCCCTGGAAATGGTAAATAAATAATAAAATAAAACAAACCAAACTCCTCCTGTCACCACCAAAGGAGCAAAACAAACCAACAATACGCACTCCAGAACGTGCCTTGTCTTCACTATAACTAGCTGCAACTTCATTGAACTTCTGTCCAGCCTTGAGCTTCTCCATGGCCTCCAGAATCTTGGACTGCTTTTCACAAAGGATATGCCTCACCTGAATCACGAAAAATCCCCAATAAGCCAACAATCACCATAATCCCAAATGAAGACTCCAAAGCTCACCTTGACAGCTGTTCCTCCCTTTTTCTCAGCTTTTCCCTCACCCTTTCCCTCAGCCTGATCTCCGCCCTTGGATTTTCCACCTTTTGCACCTCCAGCATTCTTCTTAGGCGGCATAATTACCTCAAAATAAACAAATTCCTGTAGCCGGTCTCGAAAAAAAACGCGACTTCCTCAGCAGAAATTTTTCAACCGCGTTATTCCACATGAGAACGAAGACTAAAGGTTACAAACATGCCACCTGCACTCGGAAAAATCAACTGATAGTGTGTGAAGCGTGTAGTTTCGTGTAGTTTCTCTTGTCAAACTCGTAAATCCACAGAGCGACCATCGCGATATCTTATAACTCAAAGGACATTACCGAGTGTTAAAGAATTAATAATCTTGCCATCTTGGTGTTGAGACTGGTGTACCCGTGACAACAGTGAATTGGATCAATCAAGGATAATAAATAAGTGACTGGCTTGAGGATCTTGGATGGAACAATAGAACTGGATTTTCTTTTTCGTGGATTTACCGTGAAAGGGCCAACGGCCGGGTGATGCGCGCATATGTCTAAACTCGTGAGGACCCAGCCTCTGGCGACAGGACAGGTGAAAAGATCATCCGACCATCATCACTACCACAACACCAACAATAGCTGTAATAACAGCAGTTTTAATAATAATACGGCGTTGCTGGGCTTCGGTGCTACGACGAAGCGCTTGAGGCACAATAACGCCGACGACGAGAACGAGGAGAATAACGTTGAAATTGTTAATATGACTGATACAGCAACAGCTAATACCCAGAAGAGGGCTAATTTTTCAGCTCTCACTGTTGCTAATCCTAATGGTGTTAACAAGTTAACACCGAATTTGGGAAATGCCAAGCCTGGCTCAGCTAGGAAGCTCGTTATCAAAAATTTTAAGAGTAAGATTCCTTATTTTCCTTTTTTCAATATTTTTATTATCTGCGGGATTGGATTCTTTGGGGAGGGGGGAGGCACGAGGTTATAACCTCAAATCAGCTGACTACAGCATTGGCATGATTGGCAGATTGCCTTGGGATTTCGAATCTTTGGAGGTTTCGAGATCTTTCTCTCAGTTGATTTTTTTCAGATTTTTTATCTCTTCTCGGGTTATTCCAGGGATTTATAAGATATTTCTCAAGCGAAATAATTTTTTGGGGAAGAAATTTAATTTGCTAGACATTAGGGTGAATTTTGCTGGATTTAGGGGAGCTGGAGGAATTTTATTAGAATTGATTGTCGAAAATTTACGAAAACTTCTTTCAATTTTTGTTAACACTTTTTGTGTTCAGATAAACCGAAATTACCCGAGAACTACCAGGAGCAAACATGGGAGAAACTGCGAGAGGCAGTAGTTGCTATTCAGACGAGCAAAAGTATTCGGTACTCTCTGGAGGAACTTTATCAAGCCGTTGAAAACATGTGTAATCACAAAATGGCGTCAACTTTGTATGCTAATTTGACAGTGCTGACGGAGTCCCACGTCAAAGCCAACATCAAGCAATTTCTTGCTGAATCCATGGACAGACACATATTCCTGAAGAAAATGAACGAATGCTGGCAGTCGCACTGTCGTCAGATGATCATGATTAGGAGCATCTTTTTGTACCTGGATAGAACTTATGTCCTGCAAAATCCCAGTATATCCTCTATTTGGTACGTTAATTCCTCCTACTTCCTACGTCATTCTCCATTTTTCCATTACTGTGGTCACCAAAAAATCAAAAAAACTTAATTTCAATATATTATAGCCTTCGTAGTTTTCGTAATGCATGAATTACCTGCATTTAAACGGAAACCACGTAAGAGAATAAAAAAAGGACGAGGTTTCCACTGCACATGGTCAGACAAGTCGCGAAACGTCGAGATTTGGTATTTTTAGAAGTCCCCAGTATGTACGGATTTGTGTCTGTGGGTCTGTCCTGTTATGAAACGATGTATTTGTGCAGCAGCTCGATTGAAAAATCTCGAGTCTCAGGCATATTTCATGAACATGGCCCTTCCCTCTCTCTGTGTCAATCAATAATTCACAACTCCCTTCCTCTCGTTTCTTCATTTAATGACTGAGGAATAAATAAATCAAATAACTGCCAAGTGTTCAATTCCCAATTTTTTTTCAAGTCGAAATATTTTTTTATTATTCGAAAAACTCATTTTTTATTGTTGTATATTTCAGGGACATGGGTCTCCACTTATTCAGACTCCACATAGTCATGAACACCCTGGTGCAAACAAGAACAGTGGAGGGTCTCTTGATGCTGATCGAAAAAGAACGTCAGGGTGACACAGTGGACAGAACCCTCCTGAAGTCCCTTCTGCGAATGCTCTCTGACCTCCAGATCTATCAGGAAGCCTTCGAGGCAAAATTCCTGGTGGCAACTGAAAGATTGTACGCAGCTGAGGGCCAACGTCTCATGAACGAGCACGACGTACCAGAATACCTAGCCCACGTGGACAAGCGTCTCCAAGAGGAGAACGAGCGTCTGCTTCACTACCTCGATATGTCCACGAAGTGGTCCCTCATCCACACAGTAGAAAAACAACTCCTCTCGGAGCACGTCTCCAGCATTCTCCAGAAGGGTCTCAGTGGTCTCCTCGACGAAAATCGAATCAGCGATCTCACATTACTCTACAATCTCTACAGTCGTGTGAAGAATGGACTCGTCGAGCTCTGTCTCAATTTCAATTGCTACATCAAAAAGAAGGGCAAGACGATAGTCATCGATCCTGAGAAGGACAAGACAATGGTTCAAGAGCTACTCGACTTTAAGGATAAAATGGACAATATTGTGAATACGTGTTTCTATAGAAATGAAAAATTCGCCAATAGTCTGAAGGAGGCTTTTGAGGCCTTCATCAATCAGCGTGCCAACAAGCCAGCTGAGCTAATTGCCAAATTCGTGGATATGAAGTTGCGTGCTGGCAACAAGGAGGCCACCGAGGAGGAGCTCGAGAGACTTCTGGACAAAATAATGGTTCTCTTTCGATTTATCCATGGGAAGGACGTATTTGAGGCGTTTTACAAGAAAGACCTGGCGAAGAGACTGCTGGTGGGAAAATCTGCCTCTGTCGATGCTGAGAAATCGATGCTGTCCAAGCTGAAGCAGGAGTGTGGGGGTGGTTTCACAAGTAAACTCGAGGGTATGTTCAAGGACATGGAGTTGAGCAAGGACATTAATATCGCTTTCAAGCAGTACTCGACGAATCTCCAGAATGAACTGTTGGCCAGCAATTTGGATCTCACTGTTTCTATCTTGACGATGGGATACTGGCCGACTTATCCTCTGATGGAGGTGACTCTGCCTGCTGAAATGGTCCAGTATCAGGAGGTTTTCAATAAATTCTACCTGGGGAAGCACAGTGGAAGGAAACTGCAGTGGCAACCAACCCTTGGACACTGTGTCCTCAAGGCATGGTTCACTGGTGGCAACAAGGAGCTTCAGGTCTCACTCTTTCAAGCACTCGTACTGATACTTTTTAATGACTCCGATGATCTGTCGCTTGAGGAAATCAAGGCCGCTACCAATATCGAAGATGGAGAGCTCAGGAGGACTCTCCAGTCGTTGGCCTGCGGAAAGGCTAGAGTCCTCCAGAAAAATCCCAGGGGCAGGGACGTCGCTGATAACGATAGATTCGTGTTTCATGCTGATTTTACTAATAAACTTTTTAGGATTAAAATTAATCAGATTCAAATGAAAGAGACGGTAATTATTTCAGATTAAAAAAAATTATTTTCCGCTTTTGTTGGACTGAAAATTTTTGAATTATGGAATTGCAGAATGAGGAGCAGAAGGCTACGGAGGAGAGAGTTTATCAGGATCGACAGTACCAGATTGACGCTGCTATTGTCAGAATTATGAAAATGAGGAAAACTCTCACTCACAATCTTCTTATTAGTGAACTGTACAATCAGCTCAAATTTCCGGTTAAGGTAATTATCTTATCTTATCAAATTCCAACTAGTTTATGTGTTAATCAATTTTTAAGATCAAATCCTGAAATAATTATTCCTATACGGAAATGATCAGCACAAATTATTGCTCATGATGTGGAAGGATTTTTTTCATTAATTAATTAAAATAGTATTCGCTGAAGGTGTACTAATGGATTTTTTCTGTGGATGCATTGCAGCCAGCTGATCTTAAAAAACGCATCGAGTCCCTGATAGACCGTGACTACATGGAGAGGGACAAAGACAATGCCAACCAATACAACTACGTTGCGTAACCACAACCAAATGCCAAAGTCACCAAGCCACGAGTGAAGACGGTTGTACGTGAAATAAAGAGTGTGCGATTGAGACGTCAAATTGAAGAGCAGACCCGACAATTGAGCTCACGCTGGAATCAGCGATTTCGTAATAATCAATACTTTATGATTAGATATCGTGGTTTAAAAAACGGCGATAGGAAACGTCAGTTTGATCGGAGAAAATGAAGAAGAGTGAAATAGATGAATAAGGTCGTAACCATGGACCATAACAGTGGTGGATCACGCCTCAAGATGCGTTAATTTTCCGTTGTCAAATGTGTATGAGTGAATCGAGAAGGTGAACAGGCAATCAAAGATGATGGAATGATGATTTTTAATTAATCAATTGCGAGAATCATTTCAATTTGGTTGGGTTCTTTCACACTATTTTTTTTCTTTTGTATAAAGGACATTGCGAGAAAAATGGTGTTTAGTGTTTTTGTGAATAAATAAAAGTTATGAAATAACTGGGGAAAAGTTCTTTCGTACGAAAATTCCAGTATACCGGGGATGAGAGACAAATAATGTAGGTTTATGTGGATGTATAAAATAAGGAGAGGAAAATCTATTGATTAGCAATTGTAATTGGATAAGGATGAAAATAATTCGGAAGATCAATCAGAGCGTTTCTCCCTTTGACGTTATTTATCGCACTCTTAGGGTAATTAGGAGGCTGACGGCATTTTCTGCGGTGCATCATCGCTCGTGGGTGATCCCCGTCATCCAGTTGTGGGGATTTGATTACTGTAGTCAGTAATGGGGGACTTGTGGATGATTTTGCCAGTGGTTGCTGCTGATTTTCGCGTCCGTCGGCCAATTCTTTGGATACTTTAGGCGCCTTTGCAGGGGTGCACTCCACTCTACTGCCCAAGCACGTATCAAGTACATCCTGCGAGGAGTGAACATCTCTTAAGCATCGAGTGCAGTAAATAGCAAAACTTAAGGAGACGAGATAGTCAGGGTGGGTTTTTTTTTTAAATTCTCAGTACTGAGACTCTGAAAAAAAATTCAAAGCCTTCAGCTGCGGTTGTATCGTCTTTAGAATCCCGCGCACTTTGTTTTTGCTATTGCCATTTAGTCCTGAACGCCCTGAACAGTAGGAGTGCATTGTAAAAAATAGAGAAGGAACTGCTATTTACTTTTCATAGTATCAACTAACACCCAGAATTTTTGAGAATCCCTGGATGGTGTACGACAAAATGATAATTGACGAATATTTGGGGGGAGAATTACAATAAGATACAACTGGTTCTTAATGATTTAAACTCAATTGTACAGACATTCGTTAATTGTAATTGATCTATGAGAATGAATTCAGATTTAATTATTAGGAATTCGAGGGAGAAATTGGGATTTGTATAGAAGAGAATTCGTCGAAGACAACTCGGTTGTTTTAGAGGATATCTTGGGAATGAATGGGCTTTGGAGGGAACGTCAGGAGAACTTTTTTGTTATTAAATCGACTACAAATGTTTCTTTTGATTTTATACTGGATGATCAATCGATTTTCGGATGTGGTAATTAATACTGTAGCGATGCAGGCTTCAATCGAATTACAGAAATGACTGTTTCTTTCAATTTATGAATGCAAAAATTTCGAAGGGGCAATTTACCCTCAATTGTTCAATCATTTTGTTCTCAAGTTGTAAAACATGACAAGTCGGAAGAGCATATGTTATTCGAAGGGTTTGTCTGAGAATCTGTTCTAGATAATGAAAATCTCAAGGAAAAATGTCTCCTTACATTTTTTCCGGAAGTAGCTCATTTTCGAGATGAATCCACAGTTCAATACAGAATTTAATCGAGTTATACTTTTTACTGCGATTGCACTTGAATAACAATTTTGTACGCTACGCTACGAAACTTATTTTTGTGTAATATTTCGTAGGAATTTGTCAAGAAAAATGTAAATAGAATAAGTCAATCAAAAAAAAACATCCGTACTTGTAATAAAAATACAACGAAAAATATTCTATACGAAAATTATTATCGATGACACTTTATCCTGTACATTGGGCCATTTTTACAAAACAACTAGTGACTAATTGATGATTAGTTTTTAATGGACTTAACGAGTTTATCCTTGACGTCGATTTCGGCGATGAGGGATTTGGCGAAATTCTCGGCACTTGCTTCTTTATTCAGAAAATCAGAGACAACTTTTGATGGGGGTTTACCACCGCCATGACCCAGACACTCCCTACGGTATTTTTCTCCTGCCGAACGACTCAGGGGATCCGCTTGAAAGTACGTCTGCCAGATCCAGGAGGCAACAGCTCTGGAGATGAGGTAGGAGTAGTACTTTGCACCATATCCCACGAGATGAGAAAACCTCAACTGCCAGGCCTGAAATTAATATTTCCATTAATTCGTCTGTGACTTGAATTTTTTTTTCCAACACTGCATTTCGCAATTACTGTATTGTCTACGTATGGAAGCCCATAATACTGCCGCTGAATTCTCGCCAATATTTCGGTGCTCGAGGTCGCCAGGGGTTTCGAATGGTAAACCTGATCCAGCATACTGTAGAACACCTGCACTTGGAGGTCAGAGGCAGCGAAGACATTCTTCGAGGCACACAGTTTGTCCAGCATGGACTGGGGCATCGTCTCCTGGGTCTGATAGTGCTTGGCAAACATTTTGACAACCCTTGGATCACTGGCAAAATACTCCATGAGGACACTGGGCACTTCCGCAAAATCTGCACTGCAACGAGTTCCAGTCACGTGCTGATACTGCGTTCTGCCCAACATCGAGTGTAATGCATGCCCCATTTCATGAAAGAGATTATCGACAGATGCTGGACTCAGGAGACAGGGGTTGGACCATCGAGGAGATGGCAATGACAGCATCAGCACAACCACAGGATTCTGAAATTAATTTCTTTTTACATATGTCCTATGATTAAAAATATTCATTACTCACCTGATAACTACCATCAGGAAGTTGCCTTCCTCCACGAATAGTGAAATGACAGTCCTGGTGAGGTTTTCCCTCTCTCTCATAAAAATCGCAGTAGATAAACCCTAGGATTCCTTCCTCCTCGGACACCACGGCGAGTTTGTGAATATTCGGACTCCAGGTCTCCCCCGTCTCTAGCGGCTGCGACTCCAGCCTGATCCCATACAGTGACTGCGTCAGGATGTTCAGGCCGTCCATACATGCCCCCAGGGAGAAATAAGGAGTGAACTCACTGCTGCAAATATTGAACCAGCCCTTCTTGGCTTTGGTGCTGAAATAAGTGGTATCCCAGGGCATGAGATCCTGACCACTTGACTCTTTCCTCTTCATCTCCCTCATAACATCGAAGTCCTCCTGCGCCCTGTCCCTCAACTCCTCGCTCATGATCCCCAGAAAATTACAGACAACTTCTGGAGTCTCCACAGTGCTTCCCTTAATGGCCCTATGCGCGTACGTGGAAAAGCCACATATTGTCGCCAACCGATGCCGAGCATTAAGGAGCTCCTTGAGAAGGTGCTCCTGGTGATCATCGGGGTATAAAAAAATTTTGTAAGCTGCCTCACGAGCTAGGGAATTCGCTGAGTCGGTGTAGAGGCCATGGATGAGGATTTGGCCATCATCCTTCCTAAAGTAGTGTCTTATGTGCTCAGGGAGGACATTACCCTGGACAGCTCGTGGAGTCACAGCCCCTGTCATGAATCTCTGGCCAACCTGGAGGATATGAGCGTTCAGGGCGACGACCTCACGCCTCAGGTTCTCGGGTAAATGGATTCCGCATTGCTCGAAGTCGAAGAGAAACAGCTTCGAGACGTGATTGTCGATTTCTGTGGTACACTGGATATCCCCGGACTCAACGACTTGCAGCAGGGCATTGTACAGCCCTCGGTGGGTGTTGAGTTTTTCAACGATACCGCTGACCTCCACGCAGGCATCCTCAGCTGCCTCGGAAAAACACGCCTCAGGGTGGGCAATCCTCACGAATTCTGCGAGGTCTGCTACCCTGCAGAGTGAATCAGATAGGTCATCGAAAATTTGCACCATTTTTCGGGAGCGGTGCGGACTCGTCGCCTCGTTTATTAAACGAGTCGAGTCAGCTGCCGCCTGATTTTTCAGGTCGTTGAAACCATCAGCAGACTGTAGCTCCGGTGTGCCAAATAAACCCTACGAAAGAAATCACCGGTTTTAGTCTCTTTAAGTCGTTTCTCCAGCTTCAGCATTCGGGAACTCAATTTGGAGCCTCAGATTTAGTGGGGTCTGATAAAAGTTTGTACCTGAATTCGGGAATTATTGAACTTACGACATTTTTCTCGGACATCCGAACGTCTTCGGTGATTCCTGCATTGAAGACCTTTGCCAGGGGTGACCAAGTTGTCACATTTCTCTCTCTTCTTCCAATCGATCTGACGTTTCCCCGTAAAACTCTCAACATTTTCATTACTTTTGATAATTATCGAATTTTCAAGCTCAATAGTTAGTTTCGAATCCGATTATTCAAAAATTATTTATATATAAAAAGGTTAAGATCTTCTCGACTCCTTTCACTCAAGTGAATTCAGATTCTAATCAATTATTTGATTAATTACACGAATTAAAAATCTATGTCTTTCATATTTATCATTCACCTGATCTATCACATCGAATTTTGAGTTCAGAGTCATGTTCATTCGATCATAATAAACACGCGTACATTTTTGAGAATCGCGCTCCGTATTTTAGTGTTTGCAGGATCAGCTGTTCACAGTCCATGTGCGTTACCCGCTTGCCACGTTTCGGTCATACTCAATTTTTCTTAATTAACTCCCCGAAATAATTGATTTTAGTGATGAAATAAATGTTTTGAGATGTCCTATTCTCTCGTTCGCGCAAGTCTTGATCTTGTTGAATTCGAAACTGACGTTAATCCAGGTAATATTAGGATAAACAATTGTTTTTAGGTTAGAATAATTCATACGAGTTGAAATAATGATTAATTACTTGTGTAATTCAGATAAAAAAAAGAAGAAGAAAAAACGACAGAATGGAGTTCTCAATTTAATCCCAGCTCATCAGAGACTTCCGCAGAAAGGAAAAATCACTCGTTCCAGTAGACTCAATTCCCAAAGTCAACAGAAATCATTGAGAAACACGAAAAAATCAATACAAGATAATGTTCAGAGACTTCTCTCATTGAGCAGTCGTAAACTTGACGGAGAAACTGCTGAGAAGGTAAAGAAAAATCATGAGAATAATAATTGTCCATTTTTTTACAATCTTCTCCGCTAATTGATCATTTTTATTTTAATAATGATTTATATTTCCTCGTTCCCAGTTATTTAATCGAGCTGTGAAACAACCCGTAAGGAGAAATAGAAAACCTCAGGAGCAGCAAACGACAGCCTTCACCGAGGAGGACTTCGCGAAATTTGCAGCTGAGTACAGAGACGAATAATAAAATGCTGAGCAGTGATCGGGAGAAAGGGAAAATCATTCTAATAGGAACATCGATCATTTTTATATATTACACAGTGTGGGTGTTGGGTTTGCCATTCATCGATGACAATCGTCTCCAGTCTCTCTTCTATTCCCACAATGTAGCTCTGATGGTCCCCGCTGTTTGCGGTCTGTGTTTCATTGGTGGATTGATCTTATTCACTCTGTACCATTTGAGTCCAGTTATCTTCGCTTCAGAAGATAGGAAAATTCAATGACATCATGAAAAATGGCCCCTAAGATTATGTAAGACGAGAAATAATTCCCTCATTCACTCTCAGATACTCGTCTTCGTGTGGTGTTTTATTCACGCCAGTAATTTTTTATGAATCCACTCTTCGTTGAATCCGGAAGAAATTGTTTCTGGTAGCTGAATTACTAATTGTGTTTAATAATTGGAGCTTTAACGGCCAAAGGATGGGTAAATGGATTGTAATTGGTATTGCTGGTGCTACGTGTAGTGGCAAGACAACACTAGCCAAGAAACTCCACGAGAAATTCAAAAATTCTGTTCTAATAAGTCAAGACAGTTATTTTCTCGCCAAAGATGATCCACGACATGTTCACATTCCTGAATTGAATCATCACAATTGGGATATCCTGGAAAGTCTGGACATGGAGAAGATGCATTCCGATATTTTGGAGATCATGTCGTCTGGAGGGGCGGGCAGAAAGGAAAATGATGTTCAATTTTTGATTGTAGATGGATTTCTTCTCTTCAATTATAAACCGATATTTGATCTGTGTGATATCAGATATTTTTTGGAGCTGTCGAGAGAGGAGTGTGAACGCAGGAGAAGTCGACGTGTGTATGATCCACCGGATGTACCTCGATATTTTGAAGTTGTCGTCTGGCCACAATACGCGAGGTATAAAAAAGAAATTCAAGAGGATGAGGCACTCGTGAAGGGAATCACCTTTCTGGATGGAACTGTAAACAATGATCAGACATTTCAACGAATTCTCCGGGAGATTACCCAGAAATGCCAGCGAAACTAGGGAATTTGGCTGAGAATAAGAAATTTATAATGACTTTGCCCTTCTCAGCTTTTTATTCAGCATTCTAAGAAAAAATTCCACTGCTGATGAAATCCAGCCGTAGCCCAATGGCTCAGAATTATAACCGCATATGAAAGTTATCGAATTTCTTTTGTTATTGAGCATTTCGTGACTTAACAAATAAAAAAATTATAAATTTACTGATGTCCTGGGATTTATTGAAAATTCGAGCCCATTAACAGTGAAAATATCTCTGCGAACTTCAATGTGTGAAATAAAAAAGAAAACAATGAATGTGAAAAAGTTTATAGTTGAGATATTTTTACTCCAATTTCATTCATCAGATTTGTAATAATTTTATATGCAGCACTTGTTTCTGATTGAAAAACTGATTTTTTAAATATTGACAGCAATTCACATAAATCAGAGTTGCACGTAGAAAAACCATGCGAGATACTACCGAAAACGTAGTTTAATTGTGAATTCATGTGTCTCTGTACTCGTTTGTAACGCAAATGAAAACGAATAATCCGTAACACATTGGTGTTACATGGAATAAGTGTTGATTTTGGGCTGGCTCTGGGCATTGGTGGCGTTGCTAGATGGTTGACCTGAGGTTGAGTCGTCCTGATCACTCTGACCACATACCTTACGCACATATTGAGGCATCACAGTTACTTCCTCCTCCATCTCGAGAACACGTTTATCAAGTTCTGCACAAGCTGCCATTTGTTTTTCAAGACGAGCGAGCATTCGAGGTGAATTGTATTTTTCAGGGTCATCATGGAATACTACCATACCGTCTTTCTGATTAATGGTCGCGAAGATTTCCCCATCTTCAATCTGTTAATAATTATCAATTCATTAATCAATGAATTTCGGAAAAAAATACAAATTATCGCAATTTTATTGAATCTTTAGTGTTGCATTATTCTTACCATGTTGAGGATATATTTCTCAGCATCAGCAGGTCCAGCCAATTGCACCCGACTGGCGACATCACTGAGACTGAGTGTTAAAAATGTTTTGGTGAGTCTCTGAATGTTTTTCTTGTACAAAAACCCCAGCACCTGCTTGACCATTCCAAGATTGTGATCCCTAGCGAATAATTCCTGGTACTTAGTGATGATTCCCTGAACCTCGTCACAGCTGTGCGTTTGATAAGCCGCAGCGAGCTCCTGATAAGGCTGACTGAGTGGCCTGATGAACCTGATCAGCACGGGACTCGCGTACTTTGGTATATTAATGATTTTTCCATGCAGTATCAGGGAGACGAGGATAAATTTTTTGTACGCCTCCAGCATAATGTGACTGACAGCCATCGCTGGGAGTGTCACGCATACCTCGAAGAAGTACAGGGCCCTGTCGTAATTTTTCACAGCTGTGTATATCATTCCACCGTAGTAGTAATACAAGAGGAAGTACTTGGAGTCGAATTGTCCACCTTCTTGGCTGATATTCGTTATATCTGTGTCGAGAAATTCGAGGGCTGGCTTAAAACACTTGGAGAGGAGACAGAGCTGACAGAGATCGGCGTGAATGGAGGTCAATTGGCTGTCGAAGAGCTGAATCTTACGGATTGCCCGACGAAGAAGATCGATACCTCCTATTGGCCATGCCACCTCTATCATTGCTTGAGTTAGAAGGTGACAGAGTTCTGCATCTGCAAGCAAATTGATGGATTAAATCTGTTGGGTCCTTCGTCAAATGGCAATTAAAAGAAATTTTAATTCTCACATGTCTCAGGAGCAAATCTCACTTGTTCCCCATTGCATCCAGCGATGAAATCGTGCACGCGATTGAACATTATTTTATAAGTGTCAGCATTGCTTGCCCCAGATGGATTTGGTAGTGAAAATTTCACACAGAGAACTGCCAAAATTCCCAGGGAGTGTTGCTGAAGGTCCAGGGTCTCCAGGACATTGTCCAGATGTAGGCCATTTTTCATAAGCACCTCAGTGGATTTGCCGATGACATCGCACAACTCTCGGAAATTTCCTTGACATAAAATTCAGGGAAAAATAAAACATCGAGCTGTTAAACAAAGGAGACCTGACATTTTCGAGGTTAACATTTCACTGGATGACTTACCCTGGGTCGAAAGTGTCTGGACATTATTTACAAACTGCTCTAAAGCCGAGGGCATTATCGTCGACATATTCCACTTATCATCACCTCTATTTTAGCCCTCAGGTCTAATTAACTGGACAATCGTAATTGAAATAGAAAAACGCGAACAGAAATCACTGCTGTATTTTTCTCAGTGAATCAACGACAGCTGTCATTGGTAGAGTGTCACGTGATCAGAAAAATCGACCAATCAGAAATGACCAAGCATTTTATTTTTTTTGACAAATGGGAGTAGCCGTTCTGTTTTAGTTTCTGTTTACCCGGCATCAACCGAAGTCTGTCATTAATGCAAATAATCATCGATTTCTCACATAATTTAGTGGTTAAATACATCGATAATGTCCCAGGAAAAGAAGAAAATTAGACAGAGACACGAGAAGAGGGAGACTGAAGAGAAAATCAGTGAGAAAAATGAACAAACTGATCGAGTGGAACCGTGAGTTTTTTTGTTTATGGGTTGAACTGGAAATGGAAATTTTGACATTTCCATGTTTCATTGCAATACATTGAGTAATGATTTTGGTTGGATTTTTATTCCATTGTGAATAACAGGAAATACGGCCCAATACCGAGATTTCCTTATCAAAAAGTCTGGTCCCGGAGTATTTTGATCCTCGGTGTCTTGCTCATCGTCTGGTACAACAGCACCCAGAGCAAAGAAGTGTCACTTGCTCGTCAGCGAGAGGTTTTGCTCAGTCGAACGCAAAATTTCGACTGCCCGCAGGATTACAAGGAGGATCTCGATAAATTCCCCGAATGTGTGCCTGAAAAATGTGGGAGAATTGTCACTGATAAATTAGTATCCACGAGTGAAACCGATGTTCTGTTAAAAATTGCTGTCAATGGGATGAATCTGGGAGGATCTGCTGGTGGAGCTAGTATTCTGGATCTTCATAGTGGAGCCCTGAGCAAGGGAGCTCATTTCATTAATATATTTTCACTCGAGGAGGCCAGTAGAATATTCAATCCACCAGATTTTGCTATCTATAAGTGAGATTTGTTCTTATCTCTCATCTTTGGGCAGGTGTAATTTTCATAATTATCAAATTGGAAATTATTTTTTCCTTATTATTATTTCAGAGTTGTAAAAACGAAAATCCATCACGCAATTGCTCATCACTTTGGGGTTGATGTTGGAAAGATTTATCTCACTAAACCCACGTTTTTCTCGAGAATGACTAATGTGTCTGCTAAGACAATCCACGATGAATACTGGCTGCCTCACGTTGACAGAGTAAAAAGAATCTTTAATAAAAAACGATTATCGTATTATTCTCTTCATCAATTATTAATCACTGATTATTTTCAGGTATCTTACGAACACTTCCATTACACATCTCTCCTGTACTTGAATGATTACGAGAGGGACTTCCAAGGTGGTCGATTTATTTTTATCGACAAGAATAATGTGAACTCCACTGTGGAGCCACGGAAGGGTGAGATAAGAACAAATACTCTTAATTTCAATTATAAATTAATTTTTACAGAATTGGAATGAAATTCTTGTCTTCAGGACGACTTCTGATGTTCACATCGGGCTCTGAAAATCTCCACGCAGTGGAACGAGTGACTTCTGGTACAAGATATGCCCTAACAGTGGCATTCACCTGCAACAGCGAAGCTGCAATATCAGATCCTACCTTTGGAAAATCCGTTAAAAACCCCTGAAGTCATTCCTCCAGTCGATTTAATTAGTATTACTGGCAGCATAAGGTGCTCGAGACGAAACCTCAGTATTACCATCCAATAATTGCATTCTAAATTCCAGAGGTACAAATAGTCATTCCATTTGATCTAATTATGTTTCTGTTTTATTCTATTTTTATTTGTGGAAGATCTGAACGCGTGAAACATTGAATGTTTTTTTCGAATTTTGTCTTTTTCCATTTTACAAGATACCTCCTCCATTCTCCTGTTTTTTTTTTAATGTTGTCAGATTTTAGGAGGGTACAGAAATTATAAGAAATTTCACCTCATAATTATTAAAACCAATATATTTATTGTCCAAACGATAATAGAAAATAAATAAAAACAATGTCATTTAGAATAATTTTTATTACTTTCAATACAACCTTACAGTATTAGATTAGCCATAATATATTGATAATTCCAAGTCTTGTTTTTTTGTTTTAATTCCACTTACCGGGTATGCAGTGCATATTAATTACGTACCTATGCACATTAATTTACTCAGTTGAAGTACACATCATTTACAATAATAAAATGATAATGTGGAATGCGTATGAAAACCGTAGACGGAGCAGAAGAGGAAAAAAATCAAATTTGGTTTATTCAATGATCGAATTGGCTTCCTTCCTCAAATAATCAATAAGAAATAAATATGTTAATTGCATTTTTTATTTATTTATCTACACTGGGTACCTATTCATACAACTTAAAAATGCGAGCTCTGTCCACCAAGCTCTCATTCAAAAACCGTATAAATATTTTTGGTATCTCAACCGATTTGTTCATTATTAATCAATAACTCGATCTGTCAAATCCTGAATATTCCTGATTTAAAACTCATGCCCTCGCGATAAGACAACAAAATCTATCCATAATTGTTGCACATTAACGAATGTTCGTGTAGCAAAATATTTCAATCAATTCAAAAAATAAACGTTCTCTATAAAAGTATTTATTAAACTCCACGGAAATTGGTGAGTATTTCACCTGTTACTAAATGAGAAAATACTTTAAAAATCTACGGTCTCTTATTTCCTAACTTTCTTGTGCACAAAAATTATATTCGTATTAATTCCATTATCTATTCCTATCTACTCACTCCCCTCAATTTACGAGACAATTTGCGTGAATGAAAAATAGAAAAATTCTTCATTAAGTTTTCCGTTCGCGTATATACAAGAAGAAAAAATATCACGAGAGACAAATGAAAAAAATCGACAATAAAACTTGAATGGAGGAATGTGCCATGCAGGAAGTGCCTCACTGTTTTTTAAATCATTTAGTTATCCGAATTAAACATTCAGAATTTCAGCAATGATCTTGGCATTCTCGCCAGCGAGAATAGTCCTGTGATTTCCAGATAACTCTTCAATATTGATAGCCTGAACGCAGTACTGGAATAGAGAAAGACAAACAAATTGTATAAATAATAACAATAAATGGTAAAAAATCATGAAAATTGAATTAACAGAAATGTAAATACCTCGGATAGATTGTAATCCTGGCCAAGAGCTGCAAAGTTATCCGTTGACTTGATGAGTGTGACAGGTCCATTGAACTTACTGGCTGGTTTGTATTCATTGGCAGCTAGAACTTTGTAATAGAACATCATGCCAGCAGCTTTGAGGTCATCAGATTCATACTTGATAGGTCCAATGAGATCGACCATTTTATCCATCATCTGACGGTAATCATCGATCCCTTTGAGTATCGTGTAGACATTGATAAATGATATCTCATTATTGAACTGCCTGACGAAGAAGGCGAGAACTTTTCGGCAGGCATCAGCGGTAAATTCAGCGTCAGTTTGACTGGTTTGTTTTCCAATTATGCGTGCATGCATCTTAACGTAATCTGGAGACCCATCGAGCAATTTGAGCTGTACAGCGTCATTGGTTTTTTCAAGCTGGAGTCCCATTTCAAATGCCACACAGGCACCAAAAGAGTATCCGAAGATGGTGTAAGGGCCCTGTGGCTGGATTTTTTTCACTTCCTTGAGGTAATGTCTAGCCAAATCTGATATAGATGTCAAGGGAGCATTGGCATGACACTGGAGACCATAGCCTGGCTTCTCAACCTCACTGGCTATCAAATTCATGGTGCTGACAACTCCTTCGATAGCATGAATGAAGAATATCGGTTTGCCAGTTGCAGATTTCGTTTGCATTTTAATAACGGGCTCTTTCGGAATTATTTCTGATCCACTTATTTGGTAGAGGAGTTGTTCACTAGGACCGTCCTCTGGTGATCCGGGAGTTCTGGCGCCAGGCGATGGGGTTCCACGTGGTGTTATTGAACTGACGCGTATATCATCGGTAGCAGATTTGGCGTAATCATTTAATTTTTCAAATGTCAAATTACGAATCTCAGTACCACTCAGGACGATATCGTAGTTACGCTCGAGTATCTGTTTTATTTCTGTTCCCATGAGTGAATCCATTCCCAAATCGGCTAGACTGTTCTTAACATTGACGGTACTCGGGTCCTTGATGCCGAGAATATTTCCAACAGCCTGGAGGAGACCAATTTGATTATCAGTATCACCAGGTCTATTTTTGTCGGGTAAAACGATGCTGGAGAGAACAGAGTGGGGCTGCTGGAGGAAAATATCCATTGTTGCGAGACAACTGAACATTCTCTGTGGCATGGTACCTCCAATCTCAGTGTCATTGTCACCCATTGTATCTGCCACAAGTCCAACATCTCCAATGGCACCCCACTGAATAGCCAATCCGGGTAGCCCATTAGCCTGCCTCTGCTCGACAATTCTCTCCATTGCTGAATTAGCCAGGCCATAATTTGTCTGGCCACCATTACCCCTACCACAGGATACACTCGAGAAAACAACGAAGTAGTCCAATGATGGACACATTTTTCTTGATGCTGCATCCAAATTCTTGGTTCCATCGATTTTTGGTTTAGCTGTCGCAATATATTGGCCTTCATCGAGATTCTCTAGGAGGGCGTCATTCAGAACAGCTGCCAGATTAAATATTCCACCGACTGGTGCTATTTTCGCAGACTGGGATATCAGCTGTTCAGCACCCTTCGGATCTGTGGCATCAGACGTTGAGATTACGATGTTAGCACCCAGCTTTCTCCAACGACGAATCGATACCGATTGATAACCAGTTCTCACACCTGATCTTGACGTAAGAATTATGTGTTTGGCACCTCGTGTAATCATCCAGTTTGCCAATTCCAGTCCAAAACCACCGAGACCACCAACGAGAATGTAACTCTTGTCGGGATTCATGTAAGTCCTGGGGATGGCTTTCACTGTCTTGGGACTTGGTTTGGTTACACCTCGTGACTCCTCGTCTCTTATCTTGAGTACGACTTTTCCAATGTGTTTTCCACTCGCCATGAATCTGAATCCCTCCTCAATCTGTTGCTCTGAGAAGACTCTCGATGGTAGGGGCCTAACCGCTCCACTCTTGATTCCATCAGAAACAAGTTTAACAACTTCTTTTTTTTCCGGACAATCATCCCCGAAGAGTGCATCAAGAAGAATTCCATGGAAACTCGTGTTCTTGAGGAAAATTGACATTCCAAGTGCTGAATTTTTGCTCAAATCAAATTTACCAATTTCCAAAAAGCGTCCACCCTCAGCTAGACACCTGACAGATGCCTGGAGTTTCTCCTCAGCCAGTGAATTTAGGACCAAATCAACACCACGCCCATTGGTCTCACGAAGAATCAACTGTTCGAAGCTGGTGTCCCTGGAGTTTCCAATATTGTTGTCTGTCAACTGTGGGAACGTCTTCTTCAAGAAGTCTCGTTTGTCCTTCGATCCGCAAGTGGTAAAAACTTTGCACCCAGCGTGAAGACAGATGGCAATACTAGCTTGTCCAACACCACCAGTACCAGCATGAATAAGGACGCTCTGTCCAGGTCTGAGATTTCCACGAACAACGAGAGCATAATAACTCGTTGCGTAGCAAACAGGAATTGTTGCGGCCTCCTCGAGGCTCCACTTCTCCGGTACTTCCCACATAAATCCAGGATCAGCTAGAACAGTAGTGGCCATTCCACGCGCTGCCACCATTCCCATCACTCGCTTACCCTTGCTATTTCTCCCAGCAAATTCAAGACCGAGAATGCAATCCTGTCCAGCCAAATCTCCAGGCAACGCATCCGGTGGTAGTTTACCAGTTGCCAACATGACGTCACGGAAATTGAGGGGAGCAAAATAAACACTGCATAATTCAGCACCTGGATATTTCTCTGGTTGATAGTAACTGAGAGGTCCCTCGATCCACCTCAAACTACTGAGATCACCCCGAACGAGAGAATTTACATATGCATGTTCAACGTGGAGTGACGAGGCATCAGCCTGCTGATCAAGACGAAGATGTCGATAGCTTCCCCACTGATTCCCCTTGAGAACATTGGCCATGAGTTCCCTGTCCAATTGCTCAGAGTAGAATGAATTATTCAACGAGAATTTTGGTGCATTCTTATCCTGAATGAATACATAACGACAATTCTCACCACCCTCTTCCCTCCTGATGCAAGTCATAAGACCGATCAGACCGAGAGTCTCCTCCCCCTGGGAAACAAGTAGAACTTGTTGACCAGTAGCTGCTTGCTTGACAGCAGCCTTCAAACCCTCCAACCATGAGAAATTCTTCTCAGTTATCTGAATGATAATTGCAGCCTTCGTCTCCTGTTTCTTCTTCAGCAATAGGTACTGCTTACCAGGTATCACTTGCATCGCTGTGAATTTCAGGCCTGCTTTCTTCAGGTATGACTTCTGAATTACACCTGTCTCCTCAAGGAGGACAAAGCCCCCTGATTTGACAGATGCCGCGAGATTCTGAAGTGCTGCTGAGTCACCACTGCTCAAAACATCAGCTGCAACTACCATATGAAGATCATGACCAACTGGTGAACTCGAGACATCCTTGTTTGTTGTCTTCATTCGCCACTGATCCAGCACTGATGAATACGTATCTGGTGTGGCGGTTGCAAGTTGAATTTCCACACTGAGAGACGGCTCTGACTGAAGAATATCTATGATCGTTGGAGCCAAAAGGGACTCCACACTTCGCTCGCCAGTCACTTCAGTTGCCTTTATCTTCAGAATCCCGAGATTCTCATTAGCGATTTGAAGAAGAACTGTCAATGCATGGAGACGTGACTTGGTGGGGTCCTCAACAAGTACTTGGGTATTGTCGTATGGAACGAAAGTGTAACGCTCAAGTTTGGGCGATGCCTGAGATTGCTGTCTTCTTGGTGCTATAGATGCCTTCATTCCCCTCAATTCAATTCCCCCGGACTTAATAACACCAATTTCAGGGTACGAGTAAACATCGAAATTTTCATTCTCACCAAGTTTGTCAGCCATTTCCAGATGTGCCTGTGGATTGATTGCGGCGTACTGGAGTCTCGTTGGAAGACACAGTTGAGTCGTATCCTTACCCAAAATGGTAAACTGCAGCATGGTATCCATGAATGACACCCAGTTATTAACCCACGTAAGCTCACCCTTGATTCCATGATTATCAGAGCTCTTGAGCCCCTGGAAAATGCCAGTGTAATCGTATCCACGTAGTCTGAGATCCTTGTAGATATCCTTAGACGTCAACTTCAGCAGATTGGTCTCGTCTTTGCCGGGTGGTGGTGACAGATTCAACTGCTCCCTCTCAATATTTTCTGGCAATCTGATTATGCCAGTGACTGCCGATGATCCACCCTCGCAGATCTCGAATTCCCCAGTGCCAGCAAAAATATTCACGAGGAATTTGACAACTCCCTCCTTTGGCATTATCGTAGCTCGATGAAACTGAACATTCTCCAGAATAATGGGAGTTTTCTCGAAATCAAGTCCATGAATCTTGGCGTATGTTTTCCAAGCTAGAGTCAAGTATCCAGTAGCTGGGAATAGAATTCGTCCATCGATATTGTGTCCGCCGTAAAAAGCGTGTTCTTCTTTAGAGATATCAATCTGAATGACAGCTTCGCCTGCACCCCCAGCCTTACCAACAAAACTAGCAACCGTCCAAGATTGTGAATGATCCCACCCAACAATTGAATTCATCATTGGTGTACCTCTGCCAACAGGATAACTCACAGGTGGATAGAGTTTGCTGAAATTTGGCTGACCCCCAGCATTGTAGATTTTTCCCAAATTCATCAACAAAAATTCAAGATTGTTGCCATGATCCTTCTTATGAAGACCAACAGTTGTTACTGTTGGCACAGATCTCCTCAGGATGGCCTGAAGAAGACAGTGCGGTGCTATTTCAATGGCAATTGCATCATTGGGCATGTGTTTCAATGCCTCTTGGAATAACACTGGTGACAGTAAATTATTAACATGATAAGCAGCTGAACTGAGCTGAGCAAGAGGCGTGTTCCAGGCTGATTCCGGCATGGACGATGAAATCCACCTGGAGGATCTCGGTTTGGGATTGGTGATCAATTTTTCGAGGCTAGTCCTTAGGAATGGTCCCACCGAGGCAATGTACTTGCTATGAAAAGCAACCCCAGAGCTGTTGACAGTTCTGGCGAATATATCCTCCTTCTTTAACTGCTCCACGAATTTATGGATAGAGTCAACTGGTCCTGATACAGTGACAGAGTCCGCTGAGTTATTGCACGCTGGTGATATATCTGGTGGGCACTTTTTCGCAGCTTCTGACCAGCTAAGACCAACAGCAGCCATCGCACCAGGTGGCAATTTACTATCAACTATACTCTTGCCTCTCCAGTAAGCAGCAAGAACCGTCTGTTCAGGTGTAAATGTCCCATCAGCATAAGCACATCCAAGTTCTCCAACTGAGTGGCCGACAATACCATCAGGATTAATTCCCAGCATAGCAAGAACATCGACGAGTGCCACTTGGATAGCAGCGATAGAAATGAAACTGTACATAACATTCTCGAAGGTCTTCTCGGTTCCATTCATGATAATATCAAGTAAATCGATACCAACGGGTTTCAGTGCCTCCGCACACCTCCTCAAACTCGTCTGGAATACTTCAATGGAGAATAGCTCCTTTCCCATTCCAGGCCACTGACTTCCCATCCCCGAGAAAACAAACCAAATTGGTTTCTTTGCAGCAACTGTTATCTCTTTCACCTCGCGATAATTATCACTACCCATTATCTGAAAACCTCGATGAGAATGCCCCAGTATACTGGAATGGTGAAGATCGTGAATCAGCGAAATGAATTCATCATCCTTGGCGTGCTCCTGAGCCTTATCTAAAAATAGATTGATACCCTCCGGTGTTCTCGCTGATACACCAATGATCTTTGGAATGGGAACATTGAGAACAGGCAGTGCTTTTGGCTTGGGATTGCTCCTGAGAATGATGTGAGCATTGGCACCACCAAAGCCAAACGAATTAATACCAACGAGTCCACCATTCCAGAATGTATTCTTATCAACAACACTGATACTACCATCAAATAGAGCTGTTAAATCCGGATTTGGATCTCTGAAATGAAGATTACCCGGTATAATACCAGCCTCCATAGCAATGACAACTTTAGCAAGAGATGCAACACCACTGCTGCACTCGGCATGCCCCATATTGGATTTAACCGAACCAACGAGAAGGGGACTTGTCCTGTTCTTGCAGAAAATTTCAGCAATACCTTTGATCTCCTGTGGATCACCGACTTTGGTACCAGTACCATGTGCCTCAACATAAACAACATCACTTGGATCAACACCAGATTCAGCATAAACCTCGTGCATCAGTTTATTCTGCATTTCTCCAGAGGGATATGTAATACCCATCACCTTGTTCCCATCGACATTTGTCTTGGCATGAACAACAGTGGCATAAACACGTCGTGCATCACGGGCCTTCTGTAGATAAACAACAGCAACTGTCTCAGACCTCACGTATCCATTGCACGATGCATCGAATGCCTTGCAACTGCCATCCTTAGACAGCATACTGAGACGATCAAACTGGAGTGATGACTTTGGATTTAGAATGAGATTGACACCAGCGACGATAGCAGCATCACAATGGCCATTACGCATTGCCAAAACAGCCTGTGTCAATGCGTACATCGATGATGAGCAGGCAGTGTCAACAGAGAATGATGGACCAGTGAAATCATACGCGAATGAGATTCTATTGGCGAACATGGCACGACAGCATCCGATCAGGGAATAGCCATTGATTTTGTCTGGATCAGCTGACCAGTACTCAGCACTCTCTGAGTCTGATACAGCAACGAAAACACCTGTCTTGGATCCTCGCACTTCAGTTGGGTTGATACCAGCATCTATTATAGCCTCGTGAGTTATTTCAAGGAGAATTCGCAGCTGTGGATCCATCACTTCCGCTTGTTTCGGATGGACGCCAAAGTGCTGTGCATCGAACGACGAAAGATCCTTGATTTTTCCATTCCGCGCTGGTAATCCGTAGAGATTTCTCGGATAGCGACGCTCATCGTCGGTCACCATGTCGATACCCTCAAGGAGATTACGCTTGAATTCCTCGATATTATCTGACTCGGGTAGACGACCAGATATTCCACTAATAACGATGTCATCGTCGGATGTCAGTATCACTCCGTTTGGCATTGCTGATGGCTCACGAACAGGTGGATTGTTCATAGCTTCGAAACGAGCTGGCATTGTTCTCTACGATTCGAGGAAAAATATTTCTCAATTCTTTCAGACTTATCGGACGAGGTAGCTTCGTGGACAAGAAGCTGAAATCAAAAGAAAAACGTGTTATTGGAAAAGTACAATGTCTTTTTTTTTTACGTCGTTGGTGTGCGTGATGGAAGACACTGTTTGTACTATTAATTTATTCTATCTCGTTAATATTGTAATATAATGGAGATATGGGTTGATCGAGTATTTCTTTTACTCGGAATATTCCAATAGCTGTTCGCATCTACTTTTTTTGAGGCTCCGATCAGCTAAAATGACACTCAAATGACATTCAGACTTTTTTGTATTGAGACGTGAAAGGTGCAAAAACGGGGTTTTTATTTTTTTGTAATTTATTGTATTTTATTGCAATGTTACCATTATTTTTTTACATAACAAAATAAATTAGAATAGATGATTAAAAAAAATCATTCATAACCCAAAGCTTCAAATAATAATAATCATAGTACAGTGATAGAATCAGGATTTCATGAAAATTGGGAAAACCGATAAGACAAGTGGATTTCGATCGATATCTTGAGGGTTCTATCAAAATTAATTTATCATAGTAGTAGGGATAAAAATGAACCACGAAAAACGCTCATCGTTGTGACATACCGGCAACGACAATTCGATATCCCCGGCTGATAAGAATAAAAATAATAATAATGAGCGAATCGTATGATCGCAACACCAGAGAACGTTATTGCTCCTGAACTTGAACGATCGTGCTCGCAAGTGAAAAAAATTATGATAGTTTATCAGTCATTGCGTCATTCACATTATTCATTACGCTTATCTCCTCGAATTTCAAGACTTGCGATAATCTGACATATTGTATCAAAATTTCCGGAAGGAATTCTCATTGATCGAATCTCGTCACCTTGGGCTCATCTACGGTTTCCCAGGGGTTCAATGGTGTAAGCAATAAAAATTGCTGACATCATCGGATTGCAAGTCACCATTTTTTCGACTGCGACTTTTTCTGTTCAGAAAAAATAACTTTTTTTTTAATATTCGAGAATTTTTTATTTAAACGGATAAATGAGCTTGTGAATGTTATCAGTTAGTCCGGATGACGATTACTCAGCGAATTTATTTCAATGGTCAAGCGATGAATTTTTTAAATGCGTAAAAACAATAATTGCTTCTGATAATTGTTATGATAATTAACGATTAGGTGAAACGGCAAAATCGTGGCGTTTGGAATATAATTGGAATAAATGAAAAGGTAATTTAATTATCCTATTAAATTCGTGAGAAGGCGGAATTTTAGCTGGCGCTATCAATAGATCGTAAATTCTCTTCACAGATTTAAATGTTCACTTTTATCGACATGTACACCCATTAACATTCGCTTTACGACATATAGAATCGAGTTAGTGCAAATAGATACTGAAAAAATCATGATAAAAAAATGGAGGAAATATCGAATAAAATGGGAGATTTGTCGTCAAACAAATTTCACTCTGTAAAAAATCATTTCCCCTGGAATAATGAGATCTTAATTCACCTCAAACTTGACACAATGATAACTCAATCAATTTATTCCTGTGCACATAAATCACGGCCATTAATTACCCCAGATACTGACCCAATTATTATATCGTAGGAAGTTGTCTGATCACAAGGTCAAGTTCAACGAACAGCTGAGCAGTTATTCGATAGCGCATGCGAAATTGACTTCCTTCGAATTATCATACTAGTGCAACCATAATGCAACATGTCATGTATCATTGCAGTGTACCCCCTTTTTTACTCATAATTTGCCATTTTCTTCAAGATGGATTCGATTGAGGAAATAGAAAATCTAGTCGACGAGAAAAAAAATGTGAAGAAAAATTAAGGACATGTAATTTACTCATGCGTCAATTGACTCTTCAATATTAAAATTCTTTTTTATCCATTGGCTTTTTGTTGTTCAACCAAGTGGATGGACTATGGTAATTGGACATTCGTCGCGTTTTTCAGATCGACTCGTGTTACTCGATTCAAATCCGATCCTGTAATACCTCGGACTTGAGGTCGGAAATATAATATCCAATGAATACATAATATACATAATATATTTCACGTGTTAATTCATGGTAATCGCCTTCTCGTCACACATTTCGATTCTTATTTCCTGCAAACCCGTTTATTTTTATTGGGAATCCGTCGAGAATATTAATTTTCCTGTGTTGTCATTGATTCGGAGAACATCCGCATTTCTCTGTTTATAGATTTAAAGCTCTTCAAGGTCTCAATCTAGTCCGAATCCTAACTTAACAACTCCACATATCTCTGAATAATCCATTGATTCCTGTATACCCGTTTTAATTATTTTAATCATGCATTCGAATAATAAAACATTCCCATCTATTACTTGGTCTAATATAAAATTCAAAAATTTTTTAATTCAGATCGTGTCTGGCACAAGTAATTCAATTTTCGCAAAATCATTTTGCAGTTAATCCCTTGAGGTCTAGAAGCATCCGCCATTTTCCCGAAACTCATAACTTTAGAATGAATCATTCTCAAATCACTTCCAAATTTTCTCTTTAACGAGAAACAACTGATTCTTGAGTGGCTTGTCCTTTAATGAGATGCAATGACACCGAGAGTATTTTTGTTTAAAATATTCTTGGAGCCTCAGAATTATTTGAAAATCATCAGAACGAAAAGTATAAGTTTCTCGGATGAATTCAGCGAAATAATTGAAGTAACTTAATTTTTTTAAAAAAGGGATTCATTGATTCAAATAATTGACAGCCATTCGGATGCGGGTTCATATTATTCTTTACTTCTTCCCAATAAATTTTCATTATCAAGAAAGTGTCCCTCGCCCATGAATTTTCCCATCACCTCTTAAATTTCTGCTTACGACTATTAATTATCAAATATCTGCAGTTATTACAGGGTAATGATAAGATGTCAGAAACGTGAGTCCAAAGGAGTTCATAACGACAAAACTAGATTCTTAAAAAATTTAACAACAACTTGCTTTCTCCCATAAAACAGTCGATTTTTCTTCATAAATTTTCGGATAATAATCATTAGTATATACCCAAAATTCATGTTCATTACTCTCTCAGTTTTTAAGAGTTCCAAGAAAATATCTCCAGATTGAGGTTAGCCAGGTAATACCCTGGAATTCCATTCAACAGAATCATAAAAATCCCAGTAATTACATGAAAGTCAGGAGTTAATAAAATAACAATAACTACACGTTTAAAAAACCGGTGATTGGCAATTCGAGATCAGTAGTAAGAAACTACGCACGATCAGCCCACAATTTAACGCGTGATATCCGCGTGTCTTTTACCCCTTCCTATCATCCACTCCAGACTCAAAATACATTCACGTTTCCGTGAATCGGATGATTCAGTGATGCGATAATAATGATTGGTGATACGTTTTTCTATTAGGCAATCATTCGAGATACATTAAACAATTCTACACGTGGCGATAATTTTGCTCACGCTACACCTAGAAAATAAAAACGTATACCAAACGACATTCAATATAAATTCCCATCTGATCTGAGTAGAATAAAAGAACAATTTCCCAAGGCCCAAATCAGTTCCAATCCTCGATATTATATTGTTAAAATCTCTCCTCACACAAGACGTGACCACCAGCAATCAACAAACCGTCAATAAATACAATAGCCGGCATGAAAGGCATTAAATCCAGCACATTCCACCTAAAAATTTCCAATACAGGAACAAATCCAAAAACAAACCTCTCACTGCTTGAATAAGAATTTCTAGATTCCTGTATAAACACTGGCAGAGTGAAGACCGTTATAAAATGAGAGTTGTGACAGAGAATGGTTAAACTCCATTTCTAAGAAAATTATCAAATGATATTCAATTAAAGAGGTGATAATTAATTGGTAATTTGTCTAATTAACGATACCTATCACGTGGATGTAATCCTGAAATGATTCTCGGCTTTCGAGGAGAGTTCCCAGGGTTGGGCCGTTGAAAATTCACAAACAGTGGACAACGAGTTAATTAATTCTCCTCACTATGTTATGTTTGAACTATTTTTTTAAATTCTTTGTAAATGTCCGTAACAACGGACAAACAGCATGGGCGCGTCGCTAAGGACTAACTGGCGTCCAAGAGTGCGAGGGTCTCGTTATTATTGAATTGGACGGTCCCCGTGGTCTGACATCAGACCATGTGGTATTGACCAATCGGAGATGGTCCCGGGTGGAGCGCAGGCGCACTCCTCTCCTTCCCCCAGCTGACAAATGTAGCCGCCCGGTGGATTAATAACCCGCGCCAAACTCCAACTGAAATATTTGTTCTAAATCATCCTGATCATCATCCTGATCGTCATCCTGATCGTCATCTTGAGCATCATTCTGATCGTCACCCTGATCATCAGCCTGATCATCGAGATCATCAGTGCAGTCTTCCTGTCAATTTAATTTGACTGAGATAACCTTCCGCGTGATTCCAATGTGATCAGTTCAAAAAAGGAATGATAAAATTTATGTTATCGCCTGTTTTTTTTTTTATTGTTGAATATCATTTTGCAGTTTTTCGCAGGGTCGAACATGCATTGTGGATATTTATTGCAGGCCAATGGAATCGGTCTGTTGTGTCATCGGGACACGATGGGACGATCGATACGGATTTTCACTGGTTACGATGGAATACCTGTCGAGGGTGTCGTTCACTTCTTGTAATTGCGAGGGTGAATTTCGAAGCGAGAAAAGGATTTTCTTGCACGGTGTTTTGATTGGGAGTTGTTTCTCTCCTCTATTTGTAAATATTGTAGACAATTTCTTGGACTCTATCTCCAGTTTTCGGCGTAAATCGACGGCGAATTAGAAGAAATTGGTTCGATTATATTTCGATATATTTATTTATTTCTTAATCAAATTTATTTTTTACGGTTAGAAATTAGAAATGAATGATTACGTTTGGAATTATTTTCTCAACTTTTCTCTCGATGACTTTCTCGAACTGATGATTGAATGAATCATTTAATGATTACAATTCAATTCTGGATCACTCCCATTGCCGGTGATATCTACATATAGTGATTATACTTTTGATGAACGGAAATATCATATCATCTTCGCCTTTTCTCTTCTCGTTTGAGTGAATTCTTTGTGTCGAGGTGTTGACGCGTCTGATGTATTCTATCAGTTGATGCCTGTAACGTGTCCATGTGTGAGCCTAAACATTCCCAGGGACTTGAATTCCGACATTTCAAAATAGATTTTCTATTAATATTAGTTCATTTGTCATTTTTCTTCAAATTTGCACTCAAGAGAAACATTAACTAATTGACTATTCGACTGATTAATTAACAAAAATATTGATGGATAGAAGAGATATTACAAAAAAATTGTGAAATCCTCTGAACAGCAGCAGATGCTATTTCTTCCCCTTTTTCTTCTGCTTCTCATTGGCCTCCTCCATTTTCTGGAGTTCCAGCTCGATCGCTTTCTGTTTTTTTCTACAAGTGGGAGTTTTGGAGAACCACGCTGAAACGAAATATCCACGAGTATGAATTACCATCAATCACGATTGCAATTGATACCATGAATATTAATACCTAAAAAAGCCTCTTCTTCTTCCTTGTAGACTGGATCCCTAGCGCTCAATGCATTCACCAGCTCGGCATGTGTCAAAGGCTGAACTCTGAGCTGCACCATCCTCTTCGTCGTCATCACCTATGTAAACAGAAAAATACATGAATGGCGATCAGCCATTATACCAGCTTGGCGATGAATCGAATGATTAAAAAACGAAAATCATCCACATTTTCACCCATATCACCTCGCTAATAGATTGAATAACACGACCGAGAGTAAATCCATCGCAGATCTTGGTCATTGCTGACGTATCGAATTGTCTGCTGATTCCTGCGTACTGTAAAAAAAGGTGGATATCAATGTATTACATTTTCCACTGCCATCCACATGGAAATGCGTGACTGCATGGCCATGGCCTCTGGACAATCTTTTTATTTCACCAGTGATTACGAGTTTTTTTCATAATTTTCTTTATCAATTCCCCAGTACAGTTGATAAATAAATCCTTTTTTTTTACAGTAGTATCTTACTTTGTAAAGCAAATCCTTCCATAGCATTGACATGGTGCCATAATCGGGTCGGGGTATGTAAATAACTTTGTCGTACGTCTGATAAAGCAACTTCTGATCACCATCCCAGGGCGAGCTGGATGTGCCAATTACAATAACGCGATCTTCATTAGTAAAACTTTTTACGAGCTTTGGTAAATCTTTTTTCAGTCTCTTAGGATCGGTTTTATCCGTCTTGGCGACTTTTTTCACGAATGGCTTCTCGGCGCCATCCATGAATATTATTGATGGCTGAAGCAGTCGGGATACCTGCAGGAGATTTAATTTTTTATAGTCATTGTTTACTTTCAAATATTCACTAGCCAAGAGCTGAAACGATTAACGCGGAATTCGTCCGAGAGTTCATTCTATTGGGATAGGGCAAAAATAGTCTTTTAATCGTCTGTCAATAATTTATCAATTGATGACTGCAATTTATCTATTTATTGATTTTTTAGTACCTTAGAGATTAAATGTAATAGCATAATTAGCCCCGATTTTCCTGGATATTTACCAGCAATATTGGCTGGTGTAATATCAAAGAGTGTTGCCCCCAGTTCGGTGCACACTGAGTGCACAAGCATTTTTTTACCACTGGCATTTGGCCCTGCTATAAGCACTGATCGTACGAGCGGCGATAAAAGGCGTATGTTCTCTGTTGCCAGGGGAAGAATACAGTACTCTGATACCAGCTGTCTTATTTCACCTGGAAATTGTTGAAATTCCGGATTTAATTAATTAATTAGCAAAGAGAAATAATTCGAGTGCACTGCCATCGCAATATAAATCCTCAATAAGTCTCAAGGAACAGTCGATAGATTTTTAAAATGAGACACACCGATTGTGGGTAGATTGTCCCTCCCCTTATCCCAGAGTTCGAAATTGGCGTAGGATTTTTCTCCCTTGAAAGAATTCAGATAGATCTCAGGGACATGCTTGATAATTCCATTGGTAAGTAACTCCTCAAATAATGACTCAGTGGTTCGGTCAGGAGTCAAGTCCTTTTCCTTTTTTCTCTTGCTTTTCTTTCCACTTCTGCGGACACGTTTCTGGGCTTTCTTAGCTCGTTTCCCCTTGTGGCCCTTATCTCGATCCAAAGCAGCTTGAAGTGCCTCTATATCGTCTGAGCACAAGAATTATTGAATAAGTGTGAATAACGAACGTGAAGATTATTTGATTTCTCACCTCTGATGATGTTGTCCACACCAGCTCTCACTTCCTCCTCGACTTCTCGAGTTTTTTCAGCAAGAACGATTTCGCTGTAGGGTAATTGCCAAGGATTCCCTGACTCGTCCTTTCCTCTCCAAATGTCCTGATACTCCAGATTCGCTTGAATCAATTCTGGAAGAAAATTCGAGGGTACTGGCTTTATTCCTGGATCGGACTCGTCGTCCTCGGACTTCTCGGTGTCGCTCTCTTTCTTTGCCTTCGACTTTTTCGATTTCTTCGATTCTTTCGAGGAAGACGACTCCTTCGACTTGCTCAGCGAACTCTCCGTTCCCTGATTTATTATTATCATTATTTTTCTCGTCATTAAATATGTAAATATTCGTATCGTATGCAATATCTACACATTATTTTAATTTCATGTTTCCAAGGTCAAGCGTGACGCGAAGAAAATAAAACGTGACGTAACAACGTTTTTAGAGGTACGAAAATTGTATATTCATTCCTATTATCGGCTTTTCTCATAGTTTTATTCTAAAGAGGACATATCTATCGCCGAACGACCGCACAAATCATACATTAGTTATTTTATTTATTGAATTTATTGAATAAATTCACCTGACGACTCAGGATCATTCTGGAACCTCCGCTCTCAGCTGACGGTAGCTCGGGTATTTTACCCGTTTGCTGGAAATATTCATTTATCCAACTTCTGAGTTCAATTCTCATAGTTTCCTCCATAATTGCGCTCTTCTCGTTCTTCACGAATTCTCTGGTGTCTACCAGCATTTTATCGTAAATATCCTGGTACTCCGTCTGTTTTTCGTACCGATGATTTCTTATCCTTTCAGCCTGACGAAAATTCTCAGAGACTACTTGACTCGGTTGGACCATTCCAATCAACAACATCTCCTCGATCCTCCGTTTTCTCATCCTCTGACGAGTTATGTAGCCTCTCCATACCTTCTGGATTTTCATTGTCGCTGTTATTTCCTTCACTGGATCACTCGGCTCTACGTCAGATTTGATAGTCGATCTTTCCTTCATCTCTCGAATTTCCTTCATAAATTGAAATCTAGGATTCAAAGACACGAAGTATTTCCATGAGCGGGGAATGTATGAATAATTTCTGCGGAATTATTATTCTAAATTGAAGATGTTTGCTCACTTCTGTATGAGTTTTTTTCCTCAAACCTTGTCGAGACATTACATATTATTAGGTTCCCGGACCCTGACCCCTTCTGATATTGACATTTATTTTTTCGACGATTCCTGAAGTTGAAAAACGGTCTTATGGTTTTTTCCGAGTTATTCCGGGTAGAGATTCTGATTTCTTTTATAAATAATTTAATAAGAGTTCCAATAAAAAATGACCACTAAATTGAAATTAAAATTTCCACAATGGCCCTAATTTACCCTAATTTTCTGTCAGTCTAATCAATTAAAATGATCTCTAAACTAAAATCTTGAAAATTAATTTGCCCAGTGACAGCTATTGCACGAGAGGACGAATGACAAGAGGAATCATATCCCATCAGCTTCTGGGGAAGTAAAAAATTGGAGAATCCTCTACCCAAGTTCATCATTAAAATCAATTACGATAAAAAATTAAATGAAATAATCATAAGGTTTTTATTAGTGTGCGTACGCAGATTGGTGTTTACCTGACACGACCTTGACGTGCACGTTCATGTGTCTGAATGAGTCGTATTGCCTCCAGCTCAGTCAACGTCTTGGGTTGAATAATTTCATCAAGTGCCCCAACATTGCGCAATACGTCACTGATAAATTTTCTTCTCTCCAGTATTTCAGTGATTCTCTCGCGTCTGATGTATGTGGGTATCTTGAGCTCAGCCTCCTGGGGTAAAATTCCATATTTCATGAGGACGTCATCGCAGTAATTGTATTCTGACAGATCGACCTCCACGAGTTCGTGTTTGAGCTCAAGTATTCGACCCAGAGTACCATCCAGTAATTTTCGCATCAGAGATCGTTTTTGGGGTTGAATCACTTGGTCATAGCATTGCTCCAATTTATTGCAGATCACGATGTACCGGATGTACAGCTCAGAAACATTTCGGTGAATTTTTTTTCGATCCTTCTGGGGCTTTGAGTTCTGCAGATTTGAATCTGCCTGGATTATCTCGTCTAGAGAACATTGAGCGTCTCTCCATAGCTCGTCGTACGTCACATTGGACATTTTTTATCGTATTTATTTATGTTCAATCAATTTTTTGTAAATAATCCCCGAATAATTGTAATTATGAATATTCTAGTGGCTTAAGGTAATTCATTCCAACTCTTATTTTTATAGAATGTTCATTTAAATGGTCTTCAGTGAGTAGCAACTTTACTTTACTTTTCGCGATGAAAAATTGTTTATTGATTTATTGAGTAATTAGTATAGACTGGCATTGTTGTCCTGGAGATTGTAACAATGAAAATTTCCATGGAAATCTGTGGCTATCTGGCAAGTAGATTTATTTTACCTCGATGAGTATTTTTTAAAAATATTTCGCACAGTTAATAAATGGGAAAAAGAGTCTGCGTTGTCAGAAAATTTGAGTTTTAAATTGAGATAAGTCATTTCTGTTTATTTTAACAAGCAATTATTACCCCCGGTAATTTCTTGCATCGACACATGGCGTCAACATAACACTGGACAACGTAACCTACGAATCATAACTCTTCTGAAGAGTTCTCCTCACTTTTTCTGATTCATTATTACAAATCAAGAGATATTATCTGATATTTTCACATTGACATTTCGTGATGGCATCTGTTTACAAGTATGTAGACCTATAATCACACTCTGACAATTTTTTAAGTATAAATTTCAAATATTTGAATTGTTTTATGGAATTTCAGAACTATTTATCCGGTCAAGTACCTCAGAGATCATTTGGTGAGACATTTTTTATTTATAATAATAAATCAGATTGACATGAAGTAGAATGAATAGGCAGAATTTTCTGAAATTAAAAGAGAAATTACTCATGTTAATTTTTGTAATAATAGAGCGATAGTGAAGGCGAATCTTAAATTATTGTGAAATGCTTAAAATTATCGCATTTCATTACCAACTCATTTTAAAATGCAAAATATAGGCATTCTCTGCCATCTCGCTTATTATCATCTAATCAATTCCAGACACAACAGATAAGACCCGATGGTCGAGAATTTCTTGGTTTTCGACCCGTCAGCGTCAACGTCTCTTCAATCACTCAGGCCGATAGCTCTGCTGTATTTAAAATTGGAAATACCACAGTCGTTTGTGGAATCAAGGCTGTAAGTATTTTCTTCCTGCAATAATATTACAAATTCTGCATTTAGAGATATCGCGATCCTCACAGGAATTGGCTACTCCCAAACCCGAAGCCCCAGACTCTGGGTATTTAATCCCAAATGTTGGATTGAGTCCCCTTTGCTCGTCGAAATTTCGTCCAGGGCCTCCAGGTGATCAAGCACAGGTGACAACAAAAATTGTTGATAATATCCTCTGGAATTCTCAAGTCATCGACCTCAGGGATTTGTGCATTTGCAAGGATAAACTGGCCTGGGTGCTCTACTGCGATCTCGAGTGCATTGATTCTGATGGATCAATCATTGATGCATGTCTAGGGGCTCTCATGGCAGCCCTATCTTCTTGTAAGACTTTCAATTCACATTCAACAATTTATTTGAGAAAAAATTTCTCTTTTCCCATTGATCATTCATTTCGATTACTGTATGTTCTGTTTATATTTTTTTCCCAGTGACTTTACCAGAGGTTCTGCATAATCCAGAGTCCCAGTCGACCAGAGTCAATCCGAATAACCGGAGTCCTGTGCCTCTCAAAGGGATTTTCACTGCCACAACGTTTGCAGTCTTCGAAGAGTGAGTCATGCTAATTTATTGGTATAATTATTCATTTTTAATTCCTTTTTCTTTTATCCAAGAAATCTATTGCTGGCTGATCCAACAGATGAGGAAGAGAGTCAAGCTCTCGCGAGATTTACAGTGGTTATGAATAATGGTGAAATCTGTTACATGCACAAGCCAGGTAAAGCCAGCAAAAATTCATTAAATAATCAGCAAGTCTCTATTTGAATGATTGAGATTAATATTTCCTTGAATTAACGATCAGGTGGTGTTCCAATCAGTTCAGAACTCCTCTCGAGGAGTATCGCAAGAGCCAGAAGTCGATCAGAGAATTTCAAAAGTCTAATCACCACAGCAATATCTCCGAAATAACAAGACGTAGAAATAATAAATATCTTTTTTCCACGTTTCGAGAGCCTTCCACAAATTCAGTTATACGAGGGACCACAAGGAGGAATAATTTATTGGCGGGCACAAAATCATCAATAAAATCATTTCATCATCATTGTAATAATGTAATTATATGCAGAGTTATAAATATTTTTTAACGAAAATATAAATTACGAGTGGATCTCTAAGATAATTAAATGCCACTGAAAGAATGGAATGAGTTATCAAGTCATGTTTATATCCCTCAAAAAATATATTTTCATAAATAATAGACACACGTAATTACAAAAAATACTGATTAATTAGAGACACAAAAACACAAAACCAGTCCATTGAGTTAGGAATTATTATTGATTCTCAATTTATAAACTATTCTTAATGACTCAAATGATGCGATCAAAAGGTGCAAGTTTTCCTCATTATTCTCATGAACTCCTCCTGGGATATTTCCCCATCCCCATCTCTGTCTGCCTCGTCGATCATCTCCTGGAGTTCCTCATCGGTGAGATTCTCTCCCAATTCTTTAGCAACGCGTTTTAAATTCTTAAAAGTTATTTTGCCAGTGTCGTCGTCGTCGAAGAGCCTGAATGCCCGGAGAATCTCCTCCTTCGTATCCTTCTCACCCATTTTTAACGTCATTATGTTGAGGAACTCCTCGAAGGAGAGCTTGCCGATTGCGTCGGGATCTGCCTCGGCCACCAATTTCTTCAGCTCCTCCTTTTTCGGCTCGAATCCAAGAGCTCGCAGGACGACCTTCAACTCCTTCGTTGGTATTTTTCCTGTACCATCAGGATCGAAGAGATCAAATGCTTCTTTGATGTCTGATCTTTGCTCTTCAGTGAGTTCCACTCTCTGAGGCCCCTTTTTCCGAGAAGCTATCTGTTTCTTCAAAGCTGTAGCCTATAAATAATTTTTCAATTGAATAACTAAAGAGTTATACAAAACAGAAAATTGTCCACTGGATTTATGAAGATAATCTCAAATATAATCGATGGTAGGAATGGGTGATTGATAAATTTATTCGTAACAAAAATGATTCCTACCATTTCAAATTCTTCTCTTGAATAATTCAGTTTCTTCCTCGTCTGCAGGACAAATGACGACTGACAGTAAAACCAATTCAACCATAAACAGCCCTAAACTTCCTTCCTACATGGGTAATTTGTTTAGCAGTTGTTTGGTCGATATTTCCGTTAATTATTTGTGCGACAGTAACACTAAACGTCCAAACAAAAAAGACCATTTCGCCTTGTCCCATGGAATTGTTTATATTATTTTTTTTTGCTCCCACTGTCTCGTGGGGTTTTGACCTCTAGAATAATTTCCATCGAGCTACTAACCTCTCTATCATGATCAAAGATGATTGACTGAACTAGAGGCTCCGTTCTGGGGGTTTAAGTGATCCCAGCGGCATCGTAGTATTGCACCCCCAGAGAGGGAGGGTGCAACACATAATGCTGGGGTGTCCATCAAGCCGACGGGGTGAATTTTATTTTTTGCGGTATGGGGAAGTCACATCTTGTGGAATTTCAAATGGAAAAAATATTCAATATGTTGAAGATATACTACTAATGAAATTATATTTTCATAATGAGCGCGTTGTTTAATTAGCAGCGTGCTTGCCTACCACGCCGACGGCCAGGGTTCAATCCCGCCGTCATTCATTTTTTTTTTTCTAAATAATTCCATTTTTATCTTTTTTAAATGGCTAATCAATCGAAAGATCGTTTAAAAACTGAATTTTTGAAAATCGAAAAGATATTCAGTGAAATTGACAAATTAACAATTTTTTAAAACGATATTCTTGCAAAATATATACTCCTAATGAAATTAATTTATTGTAATAATGCGTTATCCTAACGGTAACGTGCTCGGCTAGCACGCCGACGTCCAGGGTTCGATCCCGCAGCCATTCTTTTTTTTTTTTAAATAATTCCAATTTTTTCTTTTGTAACTGGCTAATAAATCGAAATATTGGTTAAAAACTGAATAGCTCCTCGATTGTCATGTTCCCCTGATACTTTTACAAAAATTTCGAATTTTTCACTTTCAGTGAAAATTTCAGTGAATAACTCCTCGATTGTCA